AGAGAGAGAGAGAGAGAGAGAGAGAGAGAGAGAGAGAGAGAAAACTAGTTCGAACGAACACGGAGTCCCCCATCCATCTCCATCCATCAATCAACACCCGCACCCGTTTCGTCTCGTTCCGTCCGTCTCGTTCCGTCCCCATCCTAGCCTCCCTCACTCCTGCATCCCCTCATCAAGAACTACTCCAGTCCACTCTCCCCCTTCAACAAGCCCCCCACAACCCAATCTTTTCTGACCTTTCATATCCCGCCACACCACTTGATGCGATCAGAAGCCAAAAAAGGGGCCAGAGGGAGAAGTATAATAAAAGGGGGGCCGGTCCAGTGTGTATTCCACGAACGACCGCCTACGCCCGATGGACAATATCCACCACCACGATGGCCATGCACTAGCAATGGCCTGGGGGGTTGGGCGAGGCAAAAATAAAGATTCCATGCGCTGGAGGTTAGGGCTACTCGGTTGTTCTCTCCTCAAACCTTTCACCATGTTTGCATCAGCAAAGTCACCTCAAAATAGCGCGGCGCGAGACTCCCCCTTGTGCGCCTCTCCTTTCATGCCTAGTAGGGTAGGAGCTATCAAGCTACCATTCAGACCCTATTCTTCTTCTTCCCATTCCGGGCTGCTGCCGCTGCCGCTGCTGCGGCGAATCCGAGACGCATCCGTATTCTTTCTTCTCATCAGGCTGGAGCTATCAAGCTACCATACGACCTGGTTGCTCCCTCTATGCTGTTGTTCCGGGGGGTGGGGGTCGGTAATAAAACAAAATTAAGGTAAAGCTTGCTGGGCTGTGTGCGATGTGTGATGTGTAGTGTTCGGGGTATGATTGGGCAAAGGGTGAAGGGGAAGGGATGATAAAAGCATAGACGTGTTGGGGCTTAGATGTGTTGTGGCTCAAGGGAAACCCTGAACGGGAAGCGCAGCGAGACGGTTGGATGAGTGCCGGGTAAGCAAATGGCCAGAATGATTGGTTTCACAGCCCGCTTCAACACCTTACATATCCATCGACTCGGCGCCGTTGGCGCCAAAGTCGAAGCCGCCCTGCTGCTGGGTGCCGTTGGCCGCACCGCCAAGGCCGAACTGCTGGGCCTGGCCCATCGCGTCGTCCGCGTTCTCCTCCTCGTCCGAGAAGTACTTCTCGATGATGTTGTACGCCTTCATGTAGATCTCCTCGTTGGCGTTGGTCTGGCAGTCGTGGATCTTCTCCATGCCGCCGCACTCCTCGATGAACAGCGCATAACGGTTGATCGAGTCGGTCTCGCCCGCGGCTTGCCTGTCCAGGTCGCCGATCTTGAGGATGTTCTCGAGGCCGTCCAGCGCGACCTGGATGATCTTGTTGTCGGGGCACGCCAGGAGATCGCACAGCGGCTTGATGCAGCCCTGGTTGACCAGGTACCGGATTTGCTCCGGCTTCTGCAGGCCACCCGAGGTCGCGTTGCTGATCGCCCAGCAGGCCTCCTTGCGCGTCTTCAGATCGCCGTGCGTAAGGAGGTGGATGAGCGGCGGGATGATGTTCGCATCGATGACCGACTGGATCTGCGCCGAGTTGCCGGCCGTGACGTTGGAGATGGTCCAGCAGGCCTCCTTGCGGATTCCGTCCTTGTTGCTACTCAGCAGCGAGAGCAGGCACGGCAGCGCGCCACAATTAATGATGACCTGCGTCTGCACATCGTCGCCCGTGACGATGTTGCCGACCGAGCGCAGAGCGGGGGTTTGCACCGACGTCGACGCGTGCATCAGCAGCTCGACGAGTCGGCGGGGGATGCCGGCCTCGATAACCGCCTGGATCTTGTCGTTGGAGCCGTCCGAGAGATAGGAGATGGCCCAGCAGGCATCGATCAGCACCTCGTCATCCAAAGAATATACGAGCTTAGCGAGAATGGGGAGAGCGGGCTGAATCTACAAAGAAATGAATTAGCATCGCCACACAAAAAGTTAACCACAAAAAATTAACGTACCGCATGCCAGTCGGGTTGCGGCGTCTTGCCACGGCAGAAGTTGCTAAGAGTCCAGGTGGCGTTGCGCAGCATGCTGAGCTTGCGGCTGTCGCCGAGGAGGTTGAGCAGGGGACGCAGGGCGCCCTGGCTCAGGACATAGTCGCGGCACTGCGGGCTGTCGCCGGCAATGTTACCGAGAGCCCACACGGCCTGCTCGCGGACATCGGGCTCGGGGCTGTTGAGCAGCTCGACAAAGATGGGCACGGCGCCGGCTTCGATGACCACCTGGGTTTGGGTGGCGGAGCCCGAGGCAATGTTGGTCAGGGCCCAGGCGGCCTCGAACTGGACAAGAGTGTGGGGAGAGCGCAGGAACTCGACGAAACGGCTAACGACGCCGGTCTTGATAACCTCTTCGATGGGCGGATTGCGCTCCTTGCTGAGGAGCTTCCTGAATTTCGTAGTGGCTTGGATTTGCTGGTCAATCTGTTCCGAAAACACGCCAGCGACCATCTGGGGGAGGTCCTCGTTCAACTGTGCGATCCACGTTAGCACCCACGTCGCAAACAAAGAAAAAAGCCGCAAACAGAAAACAGGCAATGATGCAACGGAACATCATCGAACAAACTGCTCTGCCGACTGCACTCATATCCGAGAACGGGCGCGAAATGCGGGTTCCGTCTTACAGGAATGACCACAGCAGCGAACAGACTGACAGTGGGGTACAAGTGGGGGGGATGCACGAAAGAGCTGCAGCTTCAAGTGCGGAGAGGGGATGACGGTCAGACAAAACAGCACCTGTGTGTGCATCTGGGGCGGAAAAAGAAAGACGGTGAGAAAAAGAAGACAAAAAAAGCCTAACGTACCTGTGACTCGCTCGGGGGGTTCTCATCGTCGCTATCTGGCGCAGCGCCGAGAGAAGCACCCGGACGGTCATCGCCAGTGCCAATACCGCGGCGCTTGGCCAAGTTCTCCTCGCGCTTCGCCTTGCGAATCTCAACCTGCGCTTCCTCGTGGCGACGACGGAGCTCCTCGGGCTTGAAGGTGCTCTTCGCCTTGAACTGCGTGCGCCGATGCTCGGGAATGTACCGGTCGGCCATGGTTGCGATGTGGATGAGTAGTCGACGGTTTGCCGAGAGGATCGCGGGGCGCGCAAGAAAAGGAGGGGACTAGGCGCTGCGTTGCGTCGCGATCACCTGAAACAAGCTGCCGTGGCCCAAGCTGCCGAACTGAAAAATGTCCGGAAGTGAACTGCGCTGAGAGTCAAACTGCCTCAGCGTGAATCCGGGTTGAAGAAAAAAATCTGTGGTGTGGTCCAGCACTTGGTCCTCTTCTGAAGAGAATGGGTGGAGGAAGAAGGGAGGGGTTGCTGGGAAGAAGAGTTTTGGTTGTTTTGGGACAATGAAAAGAATTTGGAGCCGCAGAAACTGGAAAATGAGATGGGCCTCCCCCCTCCCCTCTGCAAGCGGACCAGGGATAGAGCAGCCCAGGCCGTGTGTGCCCCGCCAGGCCAAGCTCGAGTCAGCTGATTAGCGCCTCAGGCAGCCTGGCTCCTGCCTAGGTACAGCACGGACCATGCACATGCCAAGTGGGTGACAAAAAAAGGGCACCCCAAAGTATCACCACCACCAATAACCATCATATCATCGCAGTTTAGTATCCATTACCCGGTGCAAAAACACATCGAAATTGGAGTATCATATCAACAGATTATATGGATTCAATTTCGAAAGACTTCCGACAGAAAGCTGGTGTATATTTGCCCCTTTGATCCTTGGTTTGGTGTGGTTGTCATACATTTCGGCACGCCTTCTTTTGTCACACAGTTTTACACTACTTTGGAGCCAGGGTTGGGGTTAGATGCGATAACAGATAGCTAGTTCTCGTGCCCCGCGATATGCCCCGCGATTGATTGCAAGGAATTGAGCTCACCTACACGGGGACCTCGGGAACTCATGTCATAGTTTGCTGGAAAGGCTTTAATGTGAAAAAAACCTATAAATTTCATAGGCACCAATGGCAGTGCCGCATCGAAAGGAATTGATCCGCCCTTCTTTATCTCTCTAATCTCAAGCCGTAATCAAGCATTGAAACCTGCGCCGCTGAACCTCCAACACTACCCGAGATAAAGTGAGAGTTGCTCTCATGACTCTGACTCCACAATTCTAGCTCAGACTCAACAACTCACTTTCAACACTTCAACTTTTTTCATTAAACGCAGTAACGAGCAATTCCTGTTTATTGATTTTCATAATGGGCCATCTGGTAACGGTTGCGACATGCAGCTTGAACCAATGGGTTTTAGATGTGAGAGAGAACGCCCCGAATCTCCGGTAAACTGTGACGCATATTGACTGTCCATCAGTGGGAGGGCAACCTCGGCCGCATCATTGAGAGTATACACCAGGCCAAAGCAGCCGGAGCCCGGCTCCGTGTGGGACCTGTAAGTTGTCCCCGACAGTAATTCCGGCTGGTTGTCATCTAACCCGACCATAAGGAACTCGAAATATGCGGCTACTCCAGCCTAGACCACTTCCACGAGCTAGACGTGTACACGCACAGCCTGGAGATGCTGTGTCGGCTGCTGCAGGACAAGAGCACCTACGGGATCCTGCTTGACGTCGGCGTACCCATCCTGCATCGCAACCTCCGCTACAATTGCCGCGTGATCTGTCTCGACGGCAAGATCCTCCTCATCCGCCCCAAGATGTGGCTCGCCAACGACGGCAACTACCGCGAGATGCGCCACTTCACTCCCTGGATGCGGCCCCGCGAGACCGAGCTGTTCCACCTGCCCAAAATGCTAGCCACGCTACAAGGGGACACCCACGTGCTGTTCGGCGATGCCGTCATCTCCACCCCCGAGACGGCCTTCGGCGCCGAGACCTGCGAAGAGCTCTTCACGCCCAAGGCGCCGCACATCGACATGGCGCTAGACGGGGTCGAGATCATCACCAACTCGAGCGGTAGCCACTTCACGCTGCGCAAGCTCGACACCCGTCTGCAGCTCATCATGGAGGCCACGCGCAAGTCGGGGGGCGTGTACCTATATGCAAACCAGCAAGGGTGCGATGGTGAGCGGCTGTACTTCGACGGGTGTGCCATGATCATTGTCAACGGGGATGTGGTGGCTCAGGGGTCGCAGTTCAGTCTCAACGACGTCGAGGTCGTGACGGCGACGGTCGATCTGGAAGAGGTCCGCTCGTACCGCGCGGCTATCTCCCGCGGCCTGCAGGCGGCGGCCTCGACGGCCAAGTACCAGCGTATTCAGACGCCGTTTGAGCTGAGCTCGGAGGAGGACGATGCGGATGTCAGCGTGGCTCCGACACTGGCTATTCAGCCGCGGTATCACTCGGTTGAGGAAGAGATTGCGTTGTCTGCGGGGTGCTATTTGTGGGATGTAAGAACGCACAAACAAATCCCCTATCCAATAACGGTATTTTATCAACTGGCCAACCAACCAAACTAACCTTGATGTTTCCCATCTTCATAGTACCTTCGCCGTTCCGGCACAGCCGGCTACCTCGTTCCCCTAAGCGGCGGCATCGACTCCTGCGCAACCGCCGTGATCGTCTTCTCCATGTGCCGCATCGTACTAGCCGCGCTCGCAGAAAACAACGCCCAAGTCATCGCCGACGTCAAGCGTCTCGCCAAGTACAACGTCGATTCCAACGGCGACGGCGTGCTGCCCACCACCCCGCAGGAACTCTGTAACCAGGTCTTCTCCACCGTGTACATGGGCATGAGCAAGCAGAGCTCGCGAGAGACGCGCCAACGCGCGAAGGACCTGGCCGCGGCTATCGGGAGTCATCATATCGATTTGGATATTGATGATGTGTATGAGGCGCAGAAGAAGTTGGTGACGGCTACGACTGGGTTTGAGCCGCGGTTTAAGGTGGAGGGGGGCACGGTGCAGGAGAATTTGACACTGCAGTGCTTGCAGGCGAGGATACGGATGGTGACGGCCTATGTGGGTTTACTTTGGTGTTTTGAGATTGTTTGTGTGCTAATGGAATGGTGTAGGAATTTGGACAGATTTTGCCGACGGCGAGGGGAAGGCCGGGAGGTGGGAGTCTGCTGGTGTTGGGCAGCGCGAATGTTGGCGAGGTGAGTTTTCATGAACATGGTTGGTTGGTTTGTGAACAGAGCTAACCGAAGAATAGAGTATGCACCCCTGAAAGGCAGGATGGTTTGACAGACTTAGGACGCCACTGACACGCTCTCAATAGGTCTGAGGGGATATTTGACCAAGTATGACTGTTCGGTAAGTCGTTGAGCCCTCCCTAGAACCAGTGAGAAACTTGCTGACCGTTGTACAGAGTGCCGATATCGTATGTCCCTCTTCTTCTTGCCGGGAGGCACGGCATACTAATTCAAAACCAGAACCCCATCGGCTCCATCGACAAGGCCGACCTGAAGCGCTTCATCGCCTGGGCCGAAAAGAACTTCGAGTTGCCCTGTCTCCACGACTTTTTAACTGCCGTACCTACGGCCGAGCTGGTATGTGTTCCGTCGGCCTCCTAGGTACTGCCACTTCCGACTAAAACTCCCATTCAGGAACCGATCACCCAAGACTACGTCCAAAGCGACGAGGCGGGTAGGCTATCCTCCTCATTTGCCACTCTCTGTGCTTGACATACATACTAACAATTGACACCTCATTCAGACATGGGCATGACATACCAGGAGCTCACCATCTTCGGCCGGCTGCGCAAGCTCAACAAGCTCGGCCCCTTCGGCATGTTCCAGCGCCTGGTACACGACTGGAGCATCGACCGCGAGCGCAAGCCGGACGACGATGCACCGTACTACACCCCCGCCCAGGTCGCGGAGAAAGTCAAAAAGTTCTTCCACTTCTACGCTATCAACCGTATGTTCACCTTACTGTATCATGATATGTTTCTTTGTAGAGGGGATAATTAACCCGGGGGGTAGGGCACAAAATGACGACACTGACTCCTGCACTGCACTGCAATGATTATTGTAAGTCCCTTTCTCATTCCGTATTGTATTTGACTTGCATAAAAAGAGTCAGTCGTTAACAAAATTGCAGCGCCGGACGACAACCGCTTTGATCTGCGTCCGTTCCTATACCCGCCTTTCTGGAAGAGCTGGAGCTTCAAGCGGATCGACATGGAGTTGGAGAAGATTGAAAAGAAGCGGGCGAATAAAAATCAGTGATGAGGGGGAGTAGGAATTAGAAAGGAGAAAAAGGAGAAGATATTCGACATGTATCCAGTCATATATGTACATACAGAACCTCCCAAAGTATTTCCTTTCGATACCCCACTTTAAACAGCTTCCGCAAAGGCCACGTGACCGCCTATTGCTTTCGTGACTGTGGGGCCTTGAACAAATGGTGGGTTTGTACTCCGTACAGGTACTTTGTCACGCGTCAGGACCCCGGCAAGCGCGTTCTTCTCAAGGCGATCTTGAACCCGTCATCAACGTCACTCTTAACACACAGGGATCTCAGAACTCAGATTCCGCATACAGATTCGGATATTGGGCCCACGCCTGATAATTTTTTTCCTTTCTCTCGGTCGCCCCATTTTCTTCCCTTTTTTGCCCACAGCTATGGGCCCACCTCTGCCCTCAGGGTATAAGAACATTGAAAACATACTCGGTGGTGATGTCCCCATTGGGAGCCTTATCAATGTCTGCGGCGTGGTCAAAGACCAGCGCCTCCCTAGAGAAACCGGCGGCCGGGGTAAGCTTCGAGAGCACCACCACAATCTTTAAAAACTATCAGCCTAACATGCTCCGCAGAACACAAGTCCACGCTCGCCTTGGTTGACCTCTCCGTTGAAGACGACATGTTTGGACTTGACATGAATATATTCCGGCCACTTTCCAGCATGCCTCAAGTTTCCTGCGGTGACATCGTCGTTGTAAAGCAAGCAAAGGTGCAGAAATATCTCAACAATCCGGTATCGCTCATCACCAACATAGCCACATCGATACGGGTGTATTCGGCGTCCAAGATTCCAAAATGGCCTAACCCAGCCGACTGTGCCCTGACACCCGCAACGGGAACGGACAAGCATGTGCCTAAACCCGAGGAGAACGTCTACGTTTCGTACCTACATGCCAAATTCAACAAGTACGCCCTTCCTACGGAGGAAGAGTTTCGCAGGAAACAAGAGCAATCGATGAACTTCAAATCCAAGTTCAGCCTCCTCCAAGATGTGACCGAGGGACAGTTCTGTGATTTGATAGTGCAGGTGGCCCGCGATCCACATCATGACTTCGAGAAGTCCACCATCTACGTCTCCGACTACACCGAGAACCCAAATTTCTACCCTCGCGTCTGGCAGGATTCACCCGACCCGGCGTCCATGGGTGGCGATCCGTACGGCTACACCGCAGGCGATGGTCCCGAGGTGGCCACTAAGGAGTGGGTAGGGCCGTACGGGAAAATGTCAATCCAGGTCACCTGCTACGAGCCGCATGCCTTTGTCGTCCGCGAGGAAGTGAGAGCGGGCACGTGGGTGAAGCTGCGCAACGTACAGATCAAATACGGGAATAATGGCCAGAATCTCGAGGGCTTCATGCGCGGAGAGCAGAATGCTAGCACCGGGAGGGTCAACGTGGATGTTTTTGAGATGGATGCACAAGACCCCGAAACGGTAGACCCGAAGCTGAAAGAGGCGCTTCGAAGATGCCGTGATTATCAGCAGAAGAAGAAACAACAGATCAAGGAGATCCAAGCTGCAAAGCAGGCAGGGCAAAAGCGCAGAAGCCTCGGCGTTTCGTCGGAGAAGGAAGAACGACCCCCCAACAAAAAAGAACGCCGCAAGAACCGGCCTCAAGCGGCAAAAGGCCGGGAAGAGTACGAGAAGCGGATGAGGCAAGAGGAGGAAATCGAGGAGAATATTGAGGAGGTCGCGAAAGAAGATAACAGCGACAAACGCCTTCCCGGAGAAGCACTCCCCGACCTGAATGCTCTGGTATCATGCGAGAACCACGACGTCCCGCCAGCCACCATCGAAAACATCCTTAAACCACACACCTGCGAAACGATCATAGACGGTAAAACCGTCAACATACCCCTGCCATTCGTCTGCGCCAATTACCAAACCCGGGTCCGCGTGGTCGACTTTTTCCCGCGCTCCCTCGAACAATTCGCCTGCAGCCGCAAAGTGAACGAGTACGCCATACTTTCAGACAACGAGGACGATAGCGACTCCGGGTCCGACGAATCCGCCTCGTCCAGTGACTACGATGGCAGCGACGGCGGAGGCGGCAGTAGACGCACCTGGGCATGGCGCTTTGCCCTGCAGCTCGAGGATGCATCCCCGCCCGATTCCTCTGCCGGCCCTCCACCACGGCTCTGGGCCTTGGTCGATGACCTCGAGGGGCAATGTCTGGTCGGCATGGGAGCGGGGGATCTCAGGCGGAAGCCCAGGCTGCTGGACCAACTGCGCGAGACCCTTTTCACGCTGTGGGGGAATCTCGAGGAGGTCAAATCACAGCAAGCTGCTACTGCCGAAAAGGTGCAAACAAGTAATCGGGCTCGGCAACAACAATGCCTCGGGGGACGGCTGCCGAAACCACCATTGGACAGCTCCCTCCCACCAAACACTCCAGTCATGCCTAGGATCGAGGCGGAAGTCTCAAATAAGCCGTTCACATGTTGCCTCAGGCAGTACGGTGTTCAGGAGAACGAGGAGGGGGAAGGGGAGGATACAGAAAGGGAATGGATCCGGTGCTTTGGATTGTTTGGGACTAGGATCATTAGGTAGGATGGGCGGGCAGTTGGGTTTTAGGGGGTGTGCCTTTCCTATTGAGCGCGTGCCTTTCCCGTTCAGGGCAGAGATGACAGGTCAAATAGGATGTCAAGCTGTTGGTTGAAGCATTTGCATCTGGGAACGAACGGCGTTGGGTGGGGGTGGGATACTAGAATTGTAGGATTGGTACTTGAATTTAGGCCCAGGTGGCCGTAATCAATGTTAGCGATACCTGTTACCTTCAGCATAAATAAATGTTTACCTGATTACACCGTTGCCTCACAGATGGATCGATCACTTCAATCAGTAGCCGAACGATTATTATACACTGATCAACACGGCTCTTGTCGGTACTAACGATACACTCCTTCAAGCGCGCATCTCGAGTCTCGTACCACAAAGCCGCAAACAAAATCCCATCCGAAGAGAGCAGCCCAAGTAAAAATCGGTAGTAGTTTCAACAAGCCATGGCAACTTGATAATAGCACAAAGTGGCACCAACCGTCAAAGTTTAAGTAACAGAAGCAAAGCCCGATCTCATCAGCATACTCGTATCATGAAAATACAGTCGACCCGTCTAGCCTCGGGCAGTCGGGGGGGAGCGCGAAGAAAAAGGATGGGAAAAAAAGGAACAAACAAATAGAAATAGCCATCCCACTACCACCCAGCAATCGAAATAAACACAACGAACAAGCCCAAACCCAATACTACTTACTTACTCCATCGCCCCTCAATCTCCCAACACACTCTCATCCTCATCCATCTTATCCCCCCCACCGTCTCCCTCCTCATCCTCATCCTCCTCAATCGGATCATCCAACAACTCCCTTCGCCTCAAATCCTCCCTCGACCCCTCCTCCACATCAACATCCACATCCTCCACCGGGTCCAGCCCCAATTCCAACTCTGAACCCTCATCATCGTCATCGTCATCCCCAACAATAATCTCCTCACTCAACGCCGCTTTTTTCTTCTGCGGTGCCGCCGCAGCAGTGGCGCGAGACCCCTTCCCAGTAGCAGCCGCCACCCCCCTCCTCGGCCTAGCCTTCTTCTTCCCCAACCCCGTAATCCCATCCTCAGCACCACCAGCAGAAGCAGCCGCAGCCGCCACCCGTTCCCTCAACTTCCCCTCATCCAAAAACGCCAACGTCTCCCTCAAATTCGGTCCCAGCCTCGTCTGATTCCGCAACATGCGCCTACGCAACCGGCCCGAGCCCGAGCCCGAGCCATCTAACATACCAGCCAAAATAGCAAGCACCAGTTTCCCGGCCAACTCACACAGCGCACGCTCGAGTTTGAGTTCTTTGCCTTTGCGTTCTGTGGGTGTCATGGCGGCGTCGGCGGCGGCTTCTTCTTCGTCTTCTTCGTCGTCATCTTCGTCCTCTTCTGGTTCATCCTCTTCGAGGGGGGGGTTGGCTGCGTCGTCGGAGTTGGAGTTGCTGGCGGGTGGTGGTGCTCGGTGCTCGGCAGCGGTGGGGTTGTTGAGGGTGCGCTTGGTGATGCGGGCGTAGGCGCGCTCGGCGGCGTGATAGATCTCGATGAGTTCGTTGGTGAGGCCCGGGACGATGGGGTCGAAGAGCGGGGTGAGGTGGTTGTAGATAGTGTTGTTGTTATCGCGCGAGGTTTGCTTGACGGCTTCCCGAAGAGATGCGAACAGCACGTGGAGATCGCAGAGCGCACCGGTGGCGAACAGGCGTAGCTCGTCGTTGGTGCCGCGCGAGGAGAGCGTCCAGATCAGGTTGGTGGAGTAGGTCTTGCGGAGCGCGGCCAGGCGCTCGATGGTGCGGGCGGGGATCGGGGTGGACGATTGGACGGCGGTTAGGAGAGTGCGGACCTTCCACATGAAGTAGAAGTGGGATGCTTGGATGGCGTAGGAGACGGCTTCGTCTTCGATGTCGTCGAGCTCTTCGACGACTACGTCCAGCTTGCCGCGGTGGACGGTGTTGACGAGGACCTGGATGGCCGGGTTCTGCGAATCGGCATCCGGGCCGTCTGCCTCGAGCAGCTCGGCGCAGTCGGCGATGCTTGATAGCTTGCTGATCTTGAGGAGCACGCCGGCAAACTGGGTGATGACGGCCGGTTCGAGGTCGCCGCGGGTGACGAGGTCGTGGTTCCGGTCGAAATGCCGGAATGCGTTGAGCACCGTCTCCCACAGCTCGGCGATCTTGGTGTCGGTGATCTCTGCCAGTTCGTCGTACTGTCGAGCATGCAACAACGCTGTAGTCGCCTCGGCCAGGACGCCCCTGTCGACGTGTCTGTCGAACTGAGTGCAGATCTCATCTAGGAGACGGTTGTACGTTGTCGAGTCCTGCCGCAGTTGTTGGAACACATCAAGAGGCAGCGAGTGTTCCAACCGCAAGACAACCACGGCCGTGCTCGCGTCCGCCCCGTACTTGTTCAGCAAACGGGGGATGGCCCCGGCCAAGTGCACCGCTGACTCCTCGGCCACATCGCCCGCGTCCGGCCGTATCTTACGCTTCCCCCGGTCCGCTTCCGACGACGCGAGGCTCAGCCTCACGGCAGACGCCAGAACCTCCAGCAGCACCGACTCCTCATTACCCTCCGGGCTTACCGCATTCTTCAGCGCAGTCTCACTCGAGGACCGCTTGCCCGAGGCCCGCGACTTGGTACTCGTCGTGTGATCATACAGCAGATAACCCGACAGCAGCTCCCAGTTCTTCACCTGGTCAATCTTCTCGTACAGCACCTGCGACGCTAGCGAGATGCGCGTCTCGGGCGCCACGGCCTGGACCATCTCCACGGCAATATCCAGGCCGCGGACGGGCAGGGTCTGGTTTTCCTCCTCAAGCTGCGTATCGTAGGCCGCGAGCAGCTCGGCGAGGCACTTGATGCTGATCCAGTCGCGGCGGGGCGCCGAGTAGTCGTCGTCCTCGTCGTCTCCAAAGATCTCGTCCACGGCTTCCGCGCCGCCCATCTCCTCGACCTTGGTCTCGATCGAGTCGTTGACACAGCCAGCAAAGAAGTCGATGACGGCCCGCCGCACGCGCAGCTCCGAGTCAAACACCAGCCGGCCGATCGCGTCGATCTCATCGGGCTCGAGCATGCCCGTGTCTTTGAGAATCTGGATCACGGACACCGCAGCAATCCGCACGGAGACATCTGCGTCCTTAGTAGCCATCTCGACGAGCCGCGGCCGGAAGCGGTCAATGAAATGGCCCAGCTTCTCTCCGTCGCGCTTCAGTATCCGGGCTAGCTGCTTGAGCACCTCTTGCCGAGTAGGCGCGGTGATATCCGACAACATCCAGCCGAGATACCGCAAGTACTCGGGCTTCTCAAAAAAGGTCGGCAGCAGCCAGATCCAAGTACCCAACGCTTCCACACACTCCGTCCGGATCTTGGCGTCGATATCGCGGTATCGGTGGACGAAGACGGTCTCGAAGAAATCGGTCACCTGTTCCTGGCATAGCTGGCGGTTCTGCTCGGCCTCGTTGAGCGTCTCCTGGATGACCTTGAGCCGGTCCTTGTTCTTGCCCTTGCGGCTCTTTTCGGCGTCGACTTGCTGCGTCATCTTGGTGATGCGGTCGTCCAGCTTGCGTGCGACCTCCACCAGCGCGGCCTCCATTGCGAGTGCGACCGTGGTTGCTGTGTGTCGGAAGGGCCGCAGGGTGGACGAGGACATGGAGGCCACCCATCTCGCGATGTTCTCCATGAGCGCGCTGTCCTTGTACAGCACGTCGGTCTCGTGCAGGACCGTCACGAGAGACTTGAAAAAGCCGACTAGCAGGTCGCGGAACGGCTTGGTCAATTTAGCCTTGGCGATGAGCGGGTAGTCGGTGATGCCCTCCTATAGCGGCGCATGTCAGTCAGCACCGCAGTCCAGTCACCAAGAGCGAGAGTATGTGACAGTTAGAGAGGCAGGGAGAGAACGCACCTCAGTGTACACATTCTGCAGATCGGCCAGCCGGTTGGAGCAGTTCTCGGGATCCCGAATATCATCCTGCGTGACCTGCTGGTCGCATCCGGCCGAGAGCAAGATGCAGTTTACCAGATCGGTCACAGCCGCGGCATCATCTTCTTGGTACTTGTGGTACCATTCTGTCGCGACCTTGTCGGAAGAATCGCCAGACGCAAAAATGTCGGCTAGACACACACACACACTTAGTTAGCATTATGCCCCACCAGAGACCAAAGCCCCAAAACCAAATCCAATTCCAAAACAAATCCCGCGACCAGGTAGATATCCACGCACCATACAACCCCTCCGCATCATTCTGCGCGATGGCAATGCGCACCGCCTTCTTCGGCCTACTAGGCAGTTGAGCAGCGTGCAGCGCCCCATTCGTCGTCGACGCGTCGCCATTAACCTTCGGTTTCTTCGCCGCCGGTTTCCTCGATCGCGCAGCCTGCGACGACTTCTGCTTCTTGCTCTTCTTGCTCGTGCGCTTCGCTCCATGGTCGCCATCGTCATCATCACCATCGTCATTATCGTCGTCATCATCGTTCAAATCACTCGCCTCGCCCGCAGCCGCATCAGCTTCATCATCACCCTCGGCCGATTCGTTCCCCGCGTCTTCCGCGTCATCGTCGTCGTGATCCGTGTGCTGGCGCTTGCGCTTCGTGGCCGCGCTCGGCGTCGGCGCATCGGGGATGAATTTGGCGGGTACTTTTGTAACGCGTCCGGAGCGGCGCGCAGACGACGTTGGCGCCGGCGAGCTCGTCGTTGGCGCGGTGTTGTTGTCCGAGGTCTCCATCGTCAGTCGCGGTGGTGTGGTGGGTGTTTGTTGGTTTGTTACTGGACTGGAACCATCACATTTGTTTGCGTGGATTTATAAAAGCGGTGTTTTTTTTTTTCGGGTTGTCGTCGGGGCAGGGCGGTCGGTGTGAGTGGGTGGGTTTGGTTTTCTTCGTGGACAATTGACGCGTCGGGAAGCGACCCATTGAAATCGCCAGTTGATTTTGGCGGATTGGGGAACCCCACCCCCTGTCCGGGTTGGGATGGACCCACTTTCGCGAGCTTACAGCCTGCGCAGCCTATTGTATGTAGCTATCGGGTGTTTGCATGCATGTAAGAAGCAGGACGGAGCTATCATTTTGGGGATTCTCACCACTGATCGCAAAGGTGATAAATGAAGTAGGACTGTGTATCTGGTATCATTTTAATTATCAATCTTTTTTTTTGCTAGATTTTGCTAGATTTCACTAGATTTACAATTCCCTAAGTTGAGCCCCTGTGATCACCACCTCAAGCACATCAGCGCCTGCTCGCCAAAGTTCTTCGAAATACTCCCCTCTTCGGCCAACATCGACCCTAACCATAACCGGCCCGCCTCAAACGTTGGGGCCCCAAACTTGACAACAACACAGCCCCTAACACTAGCCGCAGACCACAGCACCTTGCCCTCCTTTTCCTTCTGCAACCTCTCCTTCCTCCACTTCTCCCGTGGAGACAGCAGCGTATCCGACTCATCCGAGCGCTGTGCATCGTCGCTCCGCCAGTCGCGAGCCCCCAGCCGCGGAAGCACCGCAAACTCGGCCAGGAAAAACTCCCCAACCGCCTTCATCAGTGGACCCCGTAGGATGAGCGTCCCGAATAGCGTCAGCTCGTTCATGGACTCCCGTAGGCCGGGCAGCTGGGGGTGCGCCTTTTGCCCATCGAGGATGGCTACATCTCTCACGAGCAGCCGGTCCTGAGCACCACCAGTTCCTGTCGCTGCTGGACTCTGACCACTACTACTACCAGCTGCAGCCACCCATACCTCGTTGCGCCCGACCCATTTGACAAAACTCCAGTGCTCGCCCAACGCCGACCGGCCTTCAATAACCCAGTCAAGCAGACACAGCGACGCGTTCCGCGCCAGCTTGAAGATCTGCGTCTGCTCGTAAACACTGCGCGCAAACGGCTGGACCGGGTCCGGGAGAAGACAGACGGCGCCGCCGGTGTCAATATCAACGTGCATGGTCTGGCGCGTGACGATGTCCGGGCGCGCCGACTTGAAGATCTTGGTGTGGCCCTGCGTGGCCAGGCTCAGCCGCGCGCCGGGCTGGACGTGGATGGTCAGGTTGACCTTGTCGCCGCCGACGAGGCCGCCGCCGTAGGAGAGGAGATACACCAGGGCGCTGGTCGGGGGCGGGTGTTTGGGGGTGACGAGTTTGAGTGGGTACTGGAACTCGAAGACCTCGAGCCCAGAAATGCCCTTGGGAAGCAGGCGCACGACAATGCGCCCCTTCCCGTCGACAGAGGAGGATTGGGGGAATGGCGAGTTCATGGTTACTTGTCACCTCATGCCGGGGGGGTTTTGTTGAGGGCGCCCCAGGGCTCCGTTGGGTGAATGAAGGCGAGCGTTCGTGGTATGGAAAAGGGAAAGGAGTGAAAGATCAGTGAAGTGCAATCGGAAACAGCATGGAGATGAAACCCCCCACTAACCCCCCTGTTCGGCTGCTGTCATTCTCCCACACATAACCCTTATCGCGCTGCACAGCGCCCCGCGTCTTGTCCCCCACCACCTCGATAATCCCTGCTGTAGGCTCGTGCTTCCCGATTGTTAGTGGGGCAATTAAGAAATGCAACGCCAAAGTCGCGACTCTCTTTTCCGGAACCCTTCCACTTCGAGTCACATCCATCATCGACTCCGCACCTGCCATCACGACCGATGCCTCCCAGGTCAACAACACGAGGGCGGGGCCGCGGTCGTGGAGGTGCCGCCCGTGGTGGTGCCGCCGCGGCCGCAGCTGCAGCCGCGACTGCGGCTTCTTCACACGATGATGCGGCTGCTGCTCAAGAAACAGCATCCGCCACAGAGCCGGCCGACGGGCCCGCGCCTGTTCCGGTGATGACTATTGATTCTACCCCCGAGGTATCGGCAAATAGCACACCTTCTCGCGTTACCAGTGCCAATGCGACTCCTGCCCCGACTTCTTCGATTCGCGCAACAGTAGCCGCAACATCAGCAGCGACAGCGACCGGAGCGAATAAATTCAAGCCTAAGGGTGTTCGTCGAAGCGAAACGGAGCGCGCGCGTCTAGCGGAAGAGCAATTGAAGATACAAGAACAGCGGGACGCCGAAGAGGCCCGAAAACAGGCTCGATTAAATCGTGGTCGAGGTCGAGGTCGCGGACGTGGTCGCGGCGGGTTGATGCGAGGAAACTTGAGAGGTGCTACTGCTGCGGGACCGCTTTCGGCGGGTATGAGCTGTGAGTTGCCATTTTATTTCTTTCCAATTGAATTCGTGTCGTGTCTAACAAATACCAGTTGGTGGCGGTTCGGGTTCAGGTTCAGGCGGCTACGCTTACGCTTCCGGCTCGGGCTCAGGCTCCAGTCACGTCAAGAGAGAAGGCGACAGCAAAGATAGCGCATACGGCACATCCGGAATTATCGACAACAGTCGGATCAACGCCGATCTACTCTACAACCACGTCGAGATTTCCGAGGAGGAAGACAACGCCTCGATCACATCGACGAAAAAGAAGAAGCGAGTCATCATGCCGATGGGTATTCGCCGCGTCGAGCACAAGGAAGAGGGCGTCACCATGACGACGGCGGCTGAGATAGAAGCTCAAGAGAACGCCGGGTTTGTGGACGACGACTCGGAGGAGGATGGATTGTTTGTGAGCAAGTCCGTGCAGATCGAGGCCATCGAGGAGCAAGCCACTGGTGGTGAGAACGAGGCTGGAGAGACCCGCACCATCAAGCAGGAAGAGGTGGACGACAGTGGTGCTATGGATCTCGACGACATCCCCGTCAACATCAAGGCTCCCCCGTCCCCCGAGCAAAAGAAGAAGGTCCCGACGGGCGAGCAGAAACCCAAGAAGAAAGTGGCTGCTCCCAAGGATCCCGAAGCCGACATCATCGCCGAAGATCTCCAGCACATGCTCAACCTCTTTACGGTGCAAGACGATGGTGCTGCCGAAGGCGGCGGAACCACGACGACCACCAACGCGGCGCTCGAAGGCCATATGTTCCTCTTCCAGTTCCCCCCCATTCTACCGCCCTTGCATGTTGTCCCGCGCGACGGCACCGCGGCCAATCCGGCGACGGTCAAACCCGACCCGGACGAGGACGTCGTCATGCAGAACCAGCCCGGCGCTAGCATCGACCTGACTCAGGACGACGACAATAACAACGATAGCCGCACCAAAGTCAAGCAGGAAGCTGACGGCGAGGAGGCCGCCGAAGACGCCAAGAAGAAGGCTGATAACAGCGGAAGAGGCGAAATCAAAGAGGGCGGCTACCTCGGCAACCTGATTGTGCGCAAGTCGGGCCGGGTCGAGCTCGACTGGGGTGGCCAGCGCTTGGAGATGATGCCCGGCATCCAGACGAACTTCTTATCGACCGCGGTCCTGATCGAGCGCAACGATGTCAAGCCGACCGATCCCAGCCAGATGGCGGGTGTCGCTTATGGCATGGGCAAGATCCAGGGCTCGTTTACCCTCGCTCCCGTTTGGGGTGAAGAGGAGGAGTGGGTGGTGGATCCGAAGGATTTGGAGATCCCCGAGGAGGAGTAAAGATAGACACTCAATACAGAAGAAGGGGGCCGGAAGGCATAGGAGAACAGCACTCTTCTAGTATTGTGTTCAGAATATTTAACCTGGCTACGATGGTGGAAACGGGCTGGGTATATGTGTGGGTTTAACTCATTGCGTGCGTGTACATTTAAGCATTTCGGGAAACGGAAAAGGGAAAAGGAAGATAAAAACCATAGACTTGTGGTGTGTCGATTGGCGTTGATACCCAGAATCAATGTTTACACCCAACTTGTTCCTGTTGCAACCCTCACAGCCGTGTGTACCCTCATAACCTCGCGTGGCTACGAACATGAACACTCTGGGTTAACTTCGGGATATGTTCTCGGGACTTGGGTTTCATATGTTTGCTCACGTTCAGGGTGATATCCGAGACATCCCCCGCACTCAGCTCGATCACATTCCGGACCCCCCACTTCCTGCGAGCGCTTTTCCCCGAGGAAGGTGTTATTGACTCCGTGCCTGCTGGAATAGTTCATCCGATTCAATCATTGAATGGAAGCCTACTTGAAGGGAACAAAGACGGTAGATAAACCACAGCAACAGGATCTGGAGGCTCTCGACCTCCATTTTCAACCTTTCTCGATCTTTCAAACTTCATCAACCTGTAAAAACTCGGAACCTACATCTATCACCGATTGCGCGCATCTAAACCCAAGAACCTATTCACGGAAACATCGAATTTCACTGTTATCCATCGTTTCGACACAATGACGACTCCAACCAATATCGCGGAAGACGGCCTCCACGTTGTCATCATCGGCGCCGGCCTAGCCGGGTTAAGCACCGCGTTGTCGACCAAACTGGCCAACCCGGCGCATCGCGTAACAGTGCTCGAGGCCACGAGAGAGTTGACCGAAGTCGGGGTACGTTTCTGAGTCTCTTTTTCTGTTATCATACTATTTCCACCTCGTGTTGGTCATTCATTCCTTTTCTTGGTTATGGATCCTTCAAAGACAGACTCCCAGTTTGGGCATTCCTGCCCTCGCGCGAGTTCGTCCCGCAACTCCCCCCTGTATCTTCTTAACCACATCTGCGCACCCTACACTCAACTAATAACCCCCCCAGGCCGGTCTCCAACTCACACCCAACGGCACCCGACTCCTCAATCACTGGTCCGTCTTCACCCCCCTCCAACCCCTCGCCGCCGTCCCCGCGGCCCTCTCCGTCCACCGCTTCGACGGCACCCGCCTACTCGCCCACGAGCCCGATCTCAAAGGCCACCTGGCCGCGCGCTATGGCGCAGACGCGCCGCTGTGGAATGTCCACCGCGCCGATCTGCAGAAGGCGCTGGCGGATAGGTGTAACGAGCTTGGCGTGCGGGTGAAGCTAGGACGCAGGGCGTTGAAGGTGGATTTTGAACGGGCGGTGGTGTTGCTTGCTGGGGGAGGTCCAGGGCCAGGCCTGGAAGAGGAAGATGGAGAGGATGAGGGCGATGACGGGGCGGTGGTGCAGGGAGATGTGGTGGTTTTGACGGACGGATTGTGGAGTGGGATCAGAGGCCAATTTCTGAAGCGGCCCAGCCCGGTGTTGCCGACTAGGGATTTGGCATACCGGATCACAATCCAAACCGACGCGTTGGCGGAGACAGAGGCCTCAGACGAGCTGAAGCAACTCATTCGCACCCCGGCAGTCCGCTTCTGGATCGGCCCGCGGGCGCACTGTGTCGGCTACCCGGTGCGCGCGGGGAAGGTGTATAACCTCGTCTTGCTCTGCCCAGACGATCTGCCAAGCGGGGTGATGAAGGGTGAGGGGGACCTGGACGAGATGATGGAGCGGTTTGCCGGGTGGGATCCCCTGCTCGTGGAGCTGCTGAAGCAAGTCAAGAGCGTGGTGCACAAGTGGCGGCTGATGTGGCTGGATGCGCTGCCGGAGTGGGCGAACCAGCGGGGCACCTTCTTCATGGCGGGCGATTGCTGTCACCCGATGCTGCCGTATCTAGCGCAAGGGGCCAACTCGAGCTTAGAGGACGGCGCGGTGCTAGGGTCGTTGCTGGGAAGGGTGAAGAAGAGTGAGAGGGAGAGACAGCTGCCTTGTGTTTCGAGGATGTATCAGCAACTGCGAATGGAAAGGGGGAGGAAGATCCAGCTGGAGTCGTTCAAGCAGCGAGATGACATACACTTGGAGGACGGTGAGGAACAGGAGAAGCGGGATGCGTTGATGGTGAGCATGCTGGGCGGGGAGCTCAAGGCGCCGTTCCCGAGCCGGTGGACGTGTCCGGATATTCAGCCGTTCCTGTACGCATACGATGCGTATGCTGAGGCGGAGAAGGCGTATCAAGAGAGCCCATACTGATTGAGACTGAGGTTATGGAGTTTTGGTGCGGATATTTCAGCGATGATGTTAGCGCAGCCCGATTTCAGCGAAGATTTATCGAGAATTGCGAATATCAACTTGCTCAAAAATTAAATGGCAACCGCTTGCTTTTATTAGAGCTATGTACAGTACACATTAACCATATTCCATTTTTTAAACGCCAATTCGCTGTCGATCAAATCGTGAAGTGAGACAACGATGTCTTACCTTGCGTTGTCCTCATGCAAAACACCATATCCCGTGTCTCAGATCATCAAATCATTTCAACGACGCCTTTCCAAATTCGCTTCGAGCAATCGCTGGACATCGTTCAAGACAAAAAAAAAACAGAAAAAAAGAAGGGAACTAAAAGACTCAAATCTTCACCCGCAACTTCCACCCCGTAACCGCCCACCTGCACGCCGCAAACACCATCGCCGCCAGCACAATCACGCTCCCAGCCCACGCCTGCGCATACAAGTACCGCCCACCCGACTTATCAATAATCGCCCCGGCCGTCGGAGGCCCCGCTAGCGACGCAAACGCCACCAACGTGCACACCATGCCGAACCGCGTGCCCATCTTCCGCGGGTCCTTGGTCAAGCTGGCCAGCGATCCCGCGTACAACCCCTGGGCGGCACCGATGGCCAGGCCGAAGAAGACGGCGAAGACATACATGCCCGTGCGCGTGGTGACGCCCGTCCAGGCGAAGATGAGACAGCCCATGACGAGGGTCTGGAAGGCGTACAGGTTGATGGGGCCGAAGTAGCGGTCGGCGAGGTAGCCTGTGACGGGCCGGCCGGGGATGCCCATGCCGTTGGTGATGAGGAGGAGCTGGACGGAGTCGGTGGTGGAGAAATGGATGACGTTGCGGGCGTAGGCGTTGATCTAAGAGGAGGAAGAATGTTTAGCAAACGGGGGAATCATTCTGGGTACTTGGAGTGAGGAACTTGTCAAAAAGGGACCCACGTAAAAGAAGCCAAAGTAAAGCGCCCAAAAGAAGAGAAAAGCGCCGAGCATGTACAGCAGATACGGTCCTTCTTTGAACGCTTCCCACTCGATAATCGGCCCGGATCGCCTCGGCCGCAGTTTCGGCTTCAGCATCACCACCGACACCGTGGCCACAAACAGAGCCACAAACGCCGCGCACCGCACTGCCCAGGGGAACCCGATCCGCGGGATCAGATATTGGATCGTGGCCGGGAAAATCACACTGCCGAACCCCGTCCCCGTGGCCGAAATCGCCAGCGCCGAGGACCGCTTCGTCACAAAATACGAACTGATCACCGACAACGGCGGCATGAAAATCACACCCAGTCCAATCCCCGTGCATAACCCCTGAGCGAGAAAGATCTGCCAGTACTCGGTGCAAATACTCGTCATGAACGTCCCGAATACCACTAACCCCGAGCCGACCACAATCGTCGACCTGACGTAGCCCGCGTCCGCCAGCCGGCCCGAGAAGGCGCACAGCGCAAACGCCAAAAAGGTCTGCAGCGATCCGATCCACGCGATCTGCGCCTCTGGTAGGCCCAGCGTGTCGCGGTAGTAGAGTTGGTACACGCCGAACGTCGACGGGTAGCCCCATGCCAGCATGTTGATGAAGATGCCCGCGAGGACCTGTGACCACGCGAGGAGCCCGCCGTCGGGGGGTTGGAATTCTTCTTCTTCCGGCGGGATGTTGGTATCATCCGCGGGTGGTTGCCCGGTGGTGGGTGCCACGGCTTTTTCCAAGTCGTCGGGTGCGGCAGCCGCCATGACCGTAATAGTTGAAGCCGTTTTGCTGTCGTCGACCTTCGACATGATGTCGTTCCCCGGGAAACAATGAGCCGAGCGCCGAGAGTCGAGAGTTGAACCCCTGAAAGCTTTAATCCGGGCTACGCGCAAACTCAAAACGTCGATGATGGGTTTCCAGCCGAAGGGAAGACCGAACTGGACGGGAAGCAGATAAATAAAAACCCCATTCTCGCCGGTCCCGGTCCCCGGCTTGCCCGGGTCTATCTTTGCTCCCCCATGCGCCGGCAAATACCCGCTGGGGAAGGGGTGCTCGGCGGGCTAGATCCGGCTTTATTTCCGCCGACATCGCCTGCTTCGGATGACATCTCCGCGCCTTTCTGGTGGACCAGGACCACACATCTTCCATTCCTTCGCTGCACCTTCGTCCGAGCACGCACCCGGCTCTGCAACTCCCGTCACTTCTCCGCCAAAATCCGTCTCCTGTCGGCGCTTACCTATTCGTAAAGGGGGCCCAATCTTCCCCGCATGAAATCCTGGGTTATGTGACAAACACTTGCTCGGCACATCCGCGATAACAGTTGAAGAAGAAAAAAACACACTAACAGCGCAGCACCTCCCGTCCGTCACCTTCAAACCGGCCGCGTCGAGAAGGTGCCTGGGCGCAAAGCCCTCGGAACCGGGGCGCTGGGGTCGAGTCGAGTCGTTCAATAAATTTAAACCTTCAAGGGGCCAAGCGAGACAAACACATTGCAGTGGTTTGCTGCACTGCGAGATGGGGGCGACGGGCCGGCTCGGATCCTGGACCCGGGGGGGCGGCCCTGTCACCGGCAAATTGACGATTCCTTGTTGCCCAGCAGGGCAAATTAAGGATGTCCAGGGGAGTTCGCCCTTTGCGCAGGATTCTATCTCGAGGCCAAGGGTAGGCTCAAGGTCTCATTCAGATGGGTTGCTCGTTCTAGTGTAGGCACATTGAGTTAACACCCTAAAAAGATTGAAATGCATTTGGGCCAGAAAGCTCCTCTCTTGCTCAGCCTTCGGCTTCTCACCGCATTTCCAGGTTCAGTTTGGAGGGGTTGCATGCTTCCATGCCACTGCCGGCAAAAGTCCTGTCTCTCCACATAGTTGCTGGGGCTGCAAAATTAGAAAGAAACGATAGAAGATAAAATGTGCACGAAAGAGGATTCTTCCGGCCCGAGAAAACTGTGAATTGAGACGGGAAGCGCTGCTTGTCGTCGAACAGCGTCTGTCTCACTCCCCCGTGGCTTCCATGCTGAAGGCCAAAAGAAAGTTCCAGGCCGTCCCCAAGGAGTCTTGGCATGCGCGCACCAACACTGAGGAAGAGGGCCAAAGCGCGCACCAATTGCCAATTGCAAATTGAAACGAAGAGAAGAGAAGCGGTGTGAATCGAAACTTAACCGCTCCAACAATCAGTGACAAAACACCAACCGGATCCCACCCATCAAAACTCCCCCGTCGGGCCGTCCGGCCTCCTCGAAGAAGGCCGAGAAAGGCAGGGTTGCCCCCTCAGCAAACCGCTAATTTTCTAGCGGCATTGAGCGGAGATTGTTCGGAAGCGCCGGGAAACGCCATGAAAGTTTTAGATTGTTCCTTACGCACAACAACAACCCTTTTAAATGCCAAAAATCTGAGAATCTGTAACACCGAAGAATCGGCTCCTTTTCGCGGCGGTCTTCTTGCGTTTGAATGTGTCGTTGTTTCACGAAGTTGAAGATTCGACCCGCTCCCCTAGTCACAAAGGTGCAAGCTAACAATCAGACAAAAATTCATGGTAGGTAGTTACATCAGGTACAGACCACATGTGAGGCCGATGTGCAAAATTCACACAGTGAAATTGGTTGCAAAACATCTTCAAACCACCCAACACTGCATAGTTATCAATTTGCGAAGATAACAAATTGAGGTACAAAGTCGTTACCCTCCACACCGAGAAAGACCCACCTGCCACGGGCTGGCTCGCCAAGCCTGTTGCAGAGCCAGACCCGTCAAATCCCGATCCGCCTCACGCCACTATCCCTGTCGAGCAGCACTTTATCTCGATTGACCAATAAAAACACTGAATTCTACGACATTTGATCGAAACGGGAAGGCGCCGAGACCACTGTTGCATGCAGCACAAATGTCACCAACCGCCCTCCGGCAGAAGTCCCTGCCTACCTACACACCCATCTCAATGCGACTTGTTTTTCACCCGCATACATATCTAACGGGAAGCGGCTCCTTGGCCAGGCTTGGGTTGCTCTGTGTGGGATGTGCTCGTCGAACTCCCACCGCTAACATCGTCGATGTGGACGGTGATGCCCGCCGTTAGCCTCGCCCAATCATCCTTGGGAATGACTGGTGGCGAAAAAACGGTGATATAGATCTCGCAAGCCGCGTTGTGCTAGCACTGGCGATACGCTTGTCACATAGTGTTACGAGCTCGGTATGGGTGTTGATATATGCAAAGCGCCTCTCTCCGTAGCGCCAAAACTTGGCCACCCGTCTGAGGCGCTCCTTGTCGATTTCGATTGTCCGTTTGTACTTCAGGGCCCGGTCGCCGGATCTAGAATACGGTGTATTGCCAATCTAGCGTTATTGATGTTGATATCGTTAGGGCTATCCCACACGTTGGCGACGCTACAATACCTCTCCCGGCCCAGTCCTTTGCCCACTGGATTTCTCTCCTACTATGTCTTCGCCGAATTCCGTGTTGCTCGCCTTCCCAGCCCACCGCTCCCGCCTCTGTGTGTTCCAGGCCCCAAGCCTACTCTTCTTGCTCCGAGCGCCGGGGCCGACGTCGAGTTCATCCAGCCTCTTGGGTCTAAAAACGACAGGCACTCTCGAGTTTGGGCGGTTTAGATTGATGAAGCTAAGCTGTTTGCCCTCAAAATGGTAAGTGGTCTATGGCGCTCGGTACTTTTGCTAACACGGGCATCGGTTTAAACCTACCTTTGGTATCTTGACCGGTATTGAAATTTCCCACCGACTATGACTGGCTCAAGGGGGAGACGGACGCCGGCGTGGTAACGGCGTATGTCAAACGAAGTGCATGTAAGAGCCGGATTTGAAACCTGTTACATCCCTTCAAAACCCCGGCGCGATTCCCAACTCAGCTTTCGCCGCCCGGGAAAGCCATGTTCTTCATGTTCCCTTTTTTGCGACTCTGTGCGCCAGCTGAGGAAAGGGAGGGAAAAGCGGGGTATCCCAGCTTCGAGATCCCGGGATCTGATCGCCGAAAAGAAATCGAAGAAAATGGAACAGAAGAACCCAAAAAGAGGAAAAGACCCGCTTTTCTGCCGTTATTTTTGTCGTTGACGAATGAATACTGATGGCGCTAAGCTACATTCGGAATGGCGCACAACTTGCAAGTTGTTTAAAACGACTTACACGGTCTTGTTTGACAAATGCATCGGGGTCCGAGACTGGAAAAGGACATTTATCAATGCGTTCCCATTCCAGTCAATTAATTTCCGAAGGCGCTGGGTTTTGGGTATTTTGTTTATCTTTGTTTGCGAGGAAATCAAATAACCCCCGTCGGTAATTTGGCGCCTGTATCAATTATTCAAAATGAGACGAATGTTACTTATTAAGGGTGCGAGGTCAACTCTACCATATTTTATCTTTAACCGCGGTTTTATTATCCGCGCATCGTGAAACCGAGAAAAAGCTTGTTTCATTATTGCGTCGTCATCCATCGCAGCCAAGCAATCGGCTATAGCCGAGGCCTGCCTTGAGTTCCTTAATCCCGCGCCTTGCCGATGCCCTTATCAGAATAAATAATGCAGCTTGATGAAATGGCCAATATATTATCGTCACCAGGGAAGCTGCGGCGGTTGATGACGGGATTATTCCGAGGCATCCATGTCGCTACCAACTCTTAGTCAATGACATGATTTAATTGATTGCAAGTTGCATTTCCGTTGCACTAACGGCGAGGCAGATTTTACACCACACTAGAGAGCTTCCTTCCTGCATGCCCAGGTGCAAGGTTCAGACCTTGATCTCGGGCTCGAGCATCGTCAAAATACATCCGTCCTTGTTTTCTCCTTGATGCTTTCTTCCCGAAACCCATCTCCTACCCGGCCTAGAATGAAATCGACCCTCGAGGCAATAAACCGCTTAAATAAGAGAAACAACACGATTAAAGGAAAGAAGAAAGAAAAAAATTGTAAAAACTAAAAACGAACATGACGCAGCAGGTAGGTAGACAGGAAGAGCCAGCCAGATAAAAAGCAATCACCTAACACGCCCAGGTACGATCCTACTCTCCTCACCCACATCTCCAGCCCAACTCCTCGCCATTTCAACCAACTCCGCTTTGACCAGTCCGCCAAAATATATGAACGCGGGTTGTAAAATTGATGCTTGTTTGTGTGTGCGTGTTCGTGATGAGCGAGGGAAAGAAACATAACAAAAAGAAGAGAGCCAGCCCAGGTATGAAGCAAAAGGAAGGTGAACGGCGGATCGCGCTGGAAAAAGCCAAACCCGAGCCACCATCACGTCCTCTTCCCCAGTAAGACTATGCTGTCCGATAGCCTGGTTTGCCTTGTCCAGTTTAATTCCTCTACCTCCTTTACCATCCCCAAATCCCCGATTTCTTGACCGCCTTAACCGCCCTATCCCATGCGCCAGTCCGCTTGTAAGCTCCCGGAGATTAACCCCCGATACAATACACCTGTTTCCGGCTATAGCTTAGTATCGTCGTTGCGACACTGACCGAGCCAAGATACAAACAAACACACAACACCTAAACTGTGAAAAGGAATATGCGAGGGGCCGAAACGGCAAGTTTGATAAAAAGGCCACATCGTTCGAAACTGTTGTTGATATTGTTCTTGGTAATAAGGAGTGGACGGCGACCCGCTAAACGTGCCGGCCTGGTTCCGACTGGTCCCGTCTTGTTTTGGTTCTCAAAGTGCGGAAGAAAAAGGTCGTATTTGTTAGGAATAAACCTCATTGTGATGAAGAAAATGTTCGAGCTCTGTTCCCCCCCACAGGCTACCTCTTACGCTTCTTATTCTTATCCAACAGGCCTGGCGACGCCATGGCGAGGGCCAGCATATCAGGAGCGATGGGTGCGGCGGGCAACAGGTTGGTAGGCGGCGGCGGCATCTCTTCCTTCTTAATGGGGACGCCCATGTGCCGACCATACCGACCCTTGCGGCCGTTGCCTTCGTCCTCGCTGATGCAGAGCTCGGCGGGGATACCGGCATCCCTGCACCGGCCGCAGGGGCGCTGCCTGTCACATCCCTTCTTGCTCTTGCGGCAGCGCTGGCACCGTGGTTTCGTGGAAAGATCCGGTTGCTCCTCCTCACCGGGGCCCAAGGGAAATGTGGGGATGGAAGAGATGGATTGTTTCCGGGACGCCGGAAGAGAGGCCGGCGTCATAGGTCCGGGGGCAGTGCTGACTGGTTTCTTGACCTTGGGCTTGGGCAGCTTCGCCGACGACTTGGCCTTGTGCGGAGGCTTGGCACCGACTAGGGTATTAGCCTTGAGCTTTGTTCCCTTCACGAGCGGGATACCCATCCCACTGTTCTCGCCACTATCTGAGCTGTAGGTATCGTCAACACTAGCCTCAGTGCTTTCCCTAGGGGCGACGAAATGGCTTTCTGTGGTGCCGAATACACTCCTGTGGTTCCCAGAGGCGTCGAGCTTTTGCCTCCTCGGGGCGGGCACCTCCTCTTCACCAGAGCTCTCGGCATCGCTTGTTGCGCCGGCAGAGGAGGCAGCATCTGCCTTCCCGCTGAGGGAATCATCTTGGCCTGACCCCGAGGCCCGGCCATGGGTTGACATCCGCATAAGCTGCATCGCGACGTCCTTGTCCTCTTCAGACACGGCACTGCGCACTGTTGGCTCCGGAGTCGGCATGACTTCATTATCTCCTTGCCCGGGGAACGACCCGTAGCTACCCCGGCTACGGCGATTGTCGTTGCTGGGAGTGGCAAACATCCCAGACTGTGCGTAGCCATTCATGAATGCCCGTGGGGAGTGTAGCGGGTGGGGATGGCTGAAGGGGTTTTGCGTCGAGGTAACAAAGGGCGGAGGGCCACGGTGGGGATCAACTCGGCGGGCTGGAGAAACGGAAGGGTTCGAAGTCGACGCAGGCATCTGAGGAGGGGCAAATAGAGGCAGTTCCTGTACAGGGTATAGTAGTTAGTAACGCCATCGAGGCATCTTGTTTTCCAATGTCCCAGCAGCTAGCCGCTTACCGAACTCTCGAATTTGGTGCGCTTGCGACGGCCGCCCTCAACGATGTTCTCAACACTGATCTCAGTGTTGCCGATTTGTTCCTTGCTTCGGCTGAATGAGCTATTGGCGCCATCACCACCGCTGCTGTAGCCATTGACGCTTTCGGTATGACTATCACCGTTGGTTTGTGTGCGGTTTTTGGACGAGCGAGAGCGGCCCTTCTTACTGGCACCGTTTCCGGCACCTGTCGAGGCGCTGCGACGCCCACGGCCAGAGTTTGGAGACGGGCTGCGGACGCGCGATGCCCTCGATGCGGGACGTGGGGCGTGGGAGTCTGGTTGATGGGGGGCATGGCTTTGGTAGCCGCCGGCGTGGTAGTAGCTGGGGGTGCCGCCCAGAGCAGCATGGTAATCGGGCCCAAGGGGCTCATCGATCACGCGCACGCGGACGATCATGTTATCCTTGAAGTTCTCGTACCGGGCAATAAGAGTGTTTCCATCCTCGTCTTCGAAACTGACGCCCTTGGAGATACTGGGCCCGGAATAGAGACCGTAGAAATTTTTGACCGTCGTGATGATGGAATCGGTCGTATCATGGAGATAGATAGATACGCGCAGTGGGAGCCGCGCTTGATATGGTGAGTTCGGGAGAACGAGAACAAATTGAATAGTTTTGGGTGCAACGACCGTGCGGGGTGATATGCTCCCGCTGTGCAAACCCGCAAGCCCATTCCCAATACTGTTGGGAGACATCGCAGACATGTTGAGAACGTTTTCTTTTGTGGGCAAGTGTTCGGCACCCTTTTGTGTCGCGGACCAGCGAGAGGAAGGTCGAGTGATGGGGTAACTGGGCGCGATGCCCGATTCCGAGGCGGTGGGGTCACAGTCGTGGTCGGGGTAGTTCTGGGGCTTTTGTCGGGGACGTCGGCTTGCAGGCGAATAATCCCATTCCAGCCGGGTAGGTCTAGAATGAGAATATTCCCGGGGCCGGAAGGCGGTGTTGAGTGTGATGCCCGTGCAGGGTGACACCGGTCGTTCTCAGAGGAGTCAAACTGTGCGTATGTGCGTAGGGGTTCCAAGGTTGTGTGTTTGTCGGTTTCGGCGGGTGTGTTACTAATGCTTGATTTTGCGGTGGGGACCTGTGCTAGACCCCGAAAGTTAGAATTGATGCCATTCAATGGAGTATATGGCGTGGATGGGGTTGATGCAAACGGTGTTGCGGTCAAGTTGTGTGGGTTGTGGGCAGACGAGGGGAAGAAGGGTGACAGTCGCTGCTGCTGCTGCTAGCGGCGGTCGACTCCGAGCGCATGGAGCAGCCAGCGAGCTTGGTTGGCTCTGCGACCAGCCCAGCTGTGTTGTGGTATCACGTCGATGACGGGCGAATATGGAAAGATGGCATCGATCACATATGAGAAGAGACTCGTGGGTACTTACTGGGAAACCGTGGGAGCGGCGGCGTCGGGAGAGAAACAGGGCCAATCTCGAGGGTTTTGCGCACAACGAGCAGTTCGCACGCAGAACGCAGACAGACAGATCGGGAACTGGGCTAGAGCAACGGTGAGCGACCAGGCCACGGAGGGCAAAATGCGAGCAAGTGGATGGGATGGAGGCGGAAGCAACTGGAAAAAAGCAGACGATGCGATGCAGCAATGACTTACCAGGCGGATCTGGGGTGGTTAGATGGTTCGAGTCCGGCAATTCGGAGGTTGTGCGTGGAAAGAGGACGGAGGAGTCGCAAGTTCTGCATTAAAATGGCAGATGCCGGTAATCGCACACACTGGAAGCACCCTTTTCAGCGAACCTTTCTCACACTTGCGCCCAGTCCCGAGACTCGACACTGTGCTACCGTGCAGGCTCGCTGCCTCGACTCGGCCATTCTTCCGCAGCGACACCTAGGACGGATATTATCTTGACTTTCTTGAGTATCTCTAGCTTATTTCGTCCCGTTCCATATGCATCATGCCCTATTCTTGGGTTGTTTCCTTGCGTCGCATGCTCTTCTGCTGTCTTGCGCAGACCCTCGAGAAGTGGAGTCGGGCTGGGCTGTTCGCACTGTCTAGACAGCGCTTGCATCTATCCACATCGCCAGCACCACCGCTCTGCCTGGTCGACCCATGTCGGGCCGCCTCAAAGTGGACATGAGGTGATTCCACGGGTCGCCAACTCGCTTCTTTTGGCAGTTACTCTCCCGTAAGAACTTGTTATTGGAGCGGTCAGCTTGCGAGCAACGCGACGAGCACAGCTGTCATCTGTAAATTCCTGAGCGTGCGACATTACACTGAGTGCAAATCCAGTGTCGCAATCTATGCCGGGCGTTCCATTTTGTTGCGCCTCCTCCTCAGGTCGCCGTCCGTGGGCGAATTGAAGATCGTCCATAACCGGGAAGTCGCAAAGGGAAATGGTGACAGCAAATCTTGGAACCAGTTTGAGTTTCGGGACGCCAAGGAACTTGCCGCGCTGCCCATCGGCTCTCACTATCTACAATATTTTACTGTGTATGAGCGCACAAATTCGGTTTGCAGTATACTATATCGGTGGTTCCCTAGGTTATCTGGACGGGGTCGCTGCACTGCGGTAGTGAGCTGTGCCCTGGTTTTCGCGACAGGGCTTTTCGTTCTCTGACTGAAGTCACACAGCGGCGGCGAAGAAGTCGGTCAATGTGGGTACAGATAGACCTTCCTGGGCGCTCCAGGAAACTGGTCTTTCTTTTCAGTCTCCTCCTGCGCCTTTTCTTCTTTTTAACCCTGGTATACGGATATTGCCTGTCTCTTGCTGGAATTTGCGGCCCCCGCACAAGCGTTGGACCTTTTCTCCTCGTGGTACAGTGTGCGCACAGTGTATTTTTTTTGACCAGATTCGTCTTTGATCCATCGAGAAACGGTGTGCTTCATCACTTGCGCAAGGCAAGTGCGCCGGAGGCTGGGCACAAAATCAAAACAATCAGGAGTGCAGTTAGCAACAGCCTGTCCGTGAGAAGAACGTGGTCCTGACCTCGAAGTGAACGGAGAGGCTGCAGCTGCGCTTGCCCGTTGCGAACGGCTGGTGGTTGTGTTGCTCGCGACGTCGGGACGCACTTTTGCAGGGTCACGACCAAAAACGACGAACCAAGAGCCCGCCCATTCTTGGCCCGCCACGCCGTGCGCGCTAGATCATGGTGGTGGGTAAGGAGCCGGGTATTGCGCTCTTAAAGATATTCGAGAGATTGGGCTTTGGGCTAATGGAAAGCACGAATGCGACTCTTCTCGCGGTCCAGTTCCCTTGGGTTTTGGGCACACGACCCTCTTTGACCAAGGGCTGGATTCTCGCGCTCAACACCGAATGCGACAGAATGGAAGTGACCCGACTTCTGTGGCAGGTGGAGTCGCTGCGGCCGGTCATCTGACCAATAATAGAAGAGCCTGTCCACCTAGTTTGCAGGGGGGTGACTCGCTCTTGTTGAACACTGCAAGCTCGACGCTGTCATGCTGGACGCAAGACTGCCCAAGGCCAACGGCTCGGCGCAAGGTTGATGTACTCAAAGACTGGGACGGGGCGCGCTTGAGTGCAAGCGCCGATAATTGAATGTGTGAGGGCGTACGGAGTATGTGTTTGAAGACGCGCGCATTCTAGGCCAGGTTCTTTGGCAGGTCCAGTCGGTGGGCCCAAGTCGCAAACGGGCGAAGGCCCTGGGGTCAGCCTCCAGTGTCTTACCTGGGTGCGAGACGCGAGCAACAGAGGGGCTCTGCTTCCGGGGAAAATGACCGAGCGGCTTCGCCAATGCCCTTGAGACTGCAGGGGCCACAACCTCGTGAACGGGGAGAACGGCACGGCGGGCGCCGGGTAGTGGATTGGGAGAGTTTGTTTTGGGCTGGCACTGCTGGCTGGCTCTGACTGTGACTTGGCGGAACAGAATGGAGGGAGGATCGGGGACGGCGGCTCGATGCGCTGGCAGAGTTTCAAGTGCGGGACTGTGTCGAATCAGGTTCTCGAATCCGCCAGGAGAACAATCAACAACGGGAGCTAAACCGACAGGCGATTTTTGGCTGCCGCGGGGTGGCTCGGTGGGCATCCACTGCCCGCAAGTCTCTCCGAGTTATCGGCAGACCATCGAACCACTCACTCCACCCGACTGCAGATTGCATGGAGGTGAGCGATTCTCGCGTGCACCGGCGGTGGCAAGCGTGGTTTCTTCTGGAGACCTGCGTTCCGGCCGGTCGCCCACCTTGATGGCACGGATGGCTCGATCGGTGGGTGGATGGCTGAGAAGGAACCTCAGCCGTTGGTTGAGAGCTCACCCGCAGTTCTCGGACAGGGCGCTTCTGGCGCAGCTTATGGCTGCCCGTCCCAGGTCCCACGGCTGATGGACCCTTGCCCGTTTTAAGTTGGCGATCTGCGATCCACCGCCGACGGTCTGTCTGCTGGCCTTGTCGCAAGTGAGTCGGGGGGTTCCTGACATCCTTTATTGCCAAAACCTCCCGCCAGCACGGGGATGCAGTGAGGGTCCCAGAGCCGGGAAGATTCATCTTGAAATCGCCCCTTGTTGGCCGTGTTGCGCCGGCCGAGGGCAGTGGGCACACTTGCGCAGTGTCCGATAAGTGCCAAGCTTCCAGGCTGTTGAACCACCCCTGTCGTAACAGCATGCGAGCGTTGCCGAGCGAGCCAGAGATGCAGCACGGCATCCGCACCAAAAGGTCGGGCGAATGTGTGAGGGCCCTGGCCGTTACGTTGCCACAATTTTATTTGTTTGAATTCCTGACACCATGAAAGAGGGGGTCGGGTCTCCTAACTTTTGGCGGGGTTGTGGGAAGGGGCCAGGGCGCGCTGGACAGCCCGAAAAGGATGTGAGAGTCTTTCCAGTGAGTCCAGGTGCGCCGCAAAGGTTCCCAACTCGGCAGTTCCGGCAATGGTCGCCCTAAAATCAATGGGGGAAAGCAGGCAAGTTGAAGCGGGCAGCGGGGAGGATGCGCCGCGAAGGCGACAAGCAACGCGCAAGTTCCAACAAGTCGGGGCTTTGCTTTGCGTTGAAAATAGCCCCGCTCAAACAATGCGACCGCTCGTCGCGCGCCGCAGGCGTCGTTGGACCAAAACATCAAAACATTGCGCTTTCCCGCCCTCTGCGCTGGTCACCTTACTGGTCAGTTTTTTTTTCGCTGGGCCGCCAGAAATGGGCCATCCCCGCCGCGCCTGAGTTTGTGGGCGCCCAAGCTCGGAGTTTCGAGTGGTATGCGAAGTACTCGACTGATGGTGTTCGCAAAAAGAAGGTTGTTCAGATAAAAAATGAGATGGAAAGAAGACGGATAGGGCTGGGAAAGACTTGCCATTTCTTCCTCATTACAGTGCTCACGTGACTGCGCGGCTAGCTGGCGTCTGAAATGCAACGCTGGTCGCGTTTGGACGGCACAAGAAAATATCCATCCACTTCAACATCCTGTGGGTGAAAAGAATTTGACCACGTAGAAAAAATTCATAATTCGGGCTAATGGATGCACACGGGCAATACAAATGCATTTTTAACACAATGCCACGAAGGTCAAGGCCGATAGGCAAGCCCGACGCTTTTTGATTGCACTTTAGGAGACGCGACGGCTATTGAGCCCCACAGTTTTGGAGTCTCAAGTGGGGTTACGTCATGTTTCACTGGGATGGAACAATACACTGGTCAACCGCGGAGCAACGGCTAGCAGGGATGGCACGGACCGTTCCTAGGCTTTATCGGGACGGATTTGTGTTTACCGGCCCTGTTACAATGTAAACACAAATTTGGGGGCAGTACGGCTGCAGCGCAAGAAAAGAAAACATTGGCCCCACGATCCCGCAGCCTTTCCTCCTCCTTCCCACTAGCAACGGCCGGTCGGAGAAGGTATCCCTACTACACAACTAATTACCATCCTTCCCTATGCATGCGCTCGAGACCTCATTCTGAGCGCGTTTCGTTTTGCCGCGTCAAACACTTTGCGCAACGATCTTTTCATATCAAATCGAACAGTTTGGATCGTCGGCGGCCGACTCGACACCACCGATTTTGCGAAATCCGAAACGGCGCAACCGACTGAACCCCAGCGAGCGCAATTTTGAACTTGTGTATTCCCGCGCAGTTTGATTTCATTTCCTGGTTTCGGCCGTTGCGAATTCAACCCCACCCTCGACAATTCGAATTCTGGTAGGCCGACGCGCCCCGCCGGTCTATTCACCTCCACCCTCGAACCACATCGCGCATGCTGTGGTGAGGGTTTCTAGCCAACTATCTCCAACCCCAAGTGCGCGCCGTGACCAGCGCCAATTTATGCCATTTGCGCGACGCATCCGCCATAGCATAGTCTAGCATCGTCGTTCCGCGCAATTTCCCAAGATGGACGCCAAAGTAAGTGATCGTTGTGGCATTTCTCTCTGTTCTTTTTTTCGTGCGTTCCTTCCTACCATGGAAACGCGTTCGCCCCTCCGCGGCAGTCTCATCCCAAATTCCAATGGCGGGCCGCTGCACAATTTCAAATTCTTCGCTCCTCCCCGGGCGACTTTCTTTCTCCCCTTTCCCCCGCGAAACAATTTTCAACCAACGCGTCTTTTCTCTTACAACAGCAAACTAACCAAGACCCGTACTTAGCCCCAGCGTCCTATCCGCGCCGCCGCCCCCATTTCCGGCAACGAGAACCTTGTCCCCCATAAACAACCTATTCACAACCGACCTAAGTCCATTGGAAATCTAAAAGCCATGACCGGCAATAGCGCACTCAATGCCCCCCCGAAACGTACTGCCTTTGGCGACGTCAGCAACACTGCTAGGGTCCGTGCTAGCGACATCGCGGGTAAGCAAGTCAACAAGGATAGTGTCAAGGCTTTTGTCAAGCCGGCCACTGCGTCTATCAACACTCGCGACGTGCGAATCGAGGACAAGGAGAACAAGAAGGCCAACACCAAGGAGAACCGCAACAAGCCTGCCAGTACTCTCTCGAGGCGATCAAACAATTCAGTGCAGCCAGCCCAGCAGACATCGCGTGTCAACCTCTCGAACAAACAGAATGGCGGAGTCTCTCTCGCCCAGGCCCCGCTCCGAAATGGCGTTTCCAAGAAGATCACAGCCATTTACCAGGATCGTCAGGAGGAGGAGGTCAGCATCCACTCTGACGTGCCTTCTCCCGCTGATGACCTTGCCGTTTTGGTGACCAAGCCCGGAAAGCTCCCGCGTCACTCCAAGAGCCAACCAGCTCTTCGCTCCGATTCTCATAACCTCCGACTTCAGCCCGCTCTACCTGTTCAATCTGACAATCTTACGGAGACGGAGGACGAGGACGACATCGACGACAACGTGACTGAGGCCGCTTACGAGGATGCCGTCGAAGACTTGTTGCGAGATGACGAAGATGCCCTCCGCGAGGCCCTCGTGGAGATTCAGCGGGCGAGCTCCAAGACGACGCAGCGAAATGAATACGACGCGTCCGTGCAGCCCAAGAACGTGCCTGAGCTGCCGGCGGCTGCCGAGCTTGAGGAGTACTGGGACGAGGAAGAGGAGCAGGAGCTCTACGATGAGCAGGGCTACACTACTGCGCACTCGTATCGGTCGCACGGAGATAACACCACAAGCGGCCCTACGACCCTGCTCGCTCCGGCTGTCACCGCCAGCGTTGAGGACGAGCTTGACCTGGCCAGGGACTACGTCGCCGCCCACCAGACCGAGGACGAGATCGAGGAGGAGGCATGGGATGTCAGCATGGTTGCCGAGTATGGCGACGAGATCTTCACCTACATGCGGGACCTCGAGGCTGAAATGCTACCAAATGCGCACTACATGGATGACCAAACCGAAATTCAGTGGTCCATGCGCTCTGTTCTCATGGACTGGATTGTTCAAGTCCATGGTAGGTTCTGCCTCTTGCCCGAGACCCTGTTCTTGGCCGTCAACTACATCGACCGGTTCCTTTCCGTCAAGGTGGTCTCTCTCGGCAAGCTCCAGCTCGTTGGCGCCACCGCCCTATTAATCGCGGCCAAGTACGAAGAGATCAATTGTCCGTCAATCCAGGAGATTGTCTTCATGGTAGACTCGGGGTACAGTGCCGACGAGGTTCTGAAGGCCGAACGCTTCATGCTCAGCATGCTCCACTACGAGCTCGGGTGGCCCGGTCCTATGAGCTTCCTTCGCCGCATCAGCAAGGCGGATGATTATGATCTCGAGACCCGTACCCTCGCCAAGTACTTCCTGGAGATCACTATCATGGACGAGCGCTTTGTCAGCAGCCCCCCGAGCTACCTCGCGGCGGGTGCCCATTGCATCTCCCGCATGTTCCTCGATAAGGGTGGTTGGGTAAGCACACACTTTTTTCTTCCTTCTCTTTCTTCCTCTAAAAGACCGCCCCCCGCTAATTATTTTCAGACTCTCGCCCATGTTCATTACTCCGGCTACACCTTGGGCCAACTCAAGCCGCTGATCAAGGTTCTGTTCGAGTGCTGCCAGTATCCCGAAAAACATCACAGCATCGTGTATGAGAAGTACGCGTCGCCGAAGTACAAAGGAGCCTCGGCTATCATTGCGGGCAAGATGGAGACCGGTCTTACGCTATCTCAGCTCTACGACGGAGACTTTCCGGAGCAGAGCATCTCCTCATCCACCATCAGCGACAAGCTGAGCTCCCAATACCAGGCCTCCCGCCTTGTCTCCGCGGTTCAAGGTTAGGCGCAGGCCTTTCCGTGAGCCGTACATCTCGACCGACCTCTGTTTTTTTTGTCTCGCCTTGACTTTTTGCGACGTCCTTACACCTTACGTTTGTCTTCTCTGTACACACTTCATTCACACTAAGCTCGCACCTCCGCTGGAGGGCGTCTTCACCATCCGTCGGCGTGTTTCCCTCTCGACGTCACACGCCGATATTGGTGCCTCTGCACTTGCGCGTCCCTAATATCTTTTTACACCTGGCGGGCGTTCCCGGCAACAGTCTTCCTCATTCTACCTCCCGCTACGCACCGCGCCGTGGCCTTATCAGGGATGTTGAATACACTGTTGCTGTGACTTACCGTCATCGACAACTGTTTTTTTCTTGTTCTACGCATCAGATCCCTAAGTTCAGCGTCGCTTGAGCTTGCTCTCACGTGGAAACATGGAGAGAGGGGGAGAAAGGGCCCAGACTGGATGGCCCGCTTGGTTAGTCACCAGGTATCCTTGGATCTGATCGTTCTGTTTATTCGGTTCCCGGTTTGCACGCCGACCACACCAAACAAAACGGCGAAGAGAAGCGGCGGCACCGAAGCTGACCATGACGAATTAATGCGACTTACGAGTTCTTTCTTTTTTTCTCCCTCTGTTTGGGACCCCTTCCCCTTTTCTTCTTCGTTCCCCTCGTTCTTCTCAGTCCTCGGCACCCCGCCCCGATATCCGTTTGGGAAATGTTTTGCTTTCGCAAAATTCCCGGTTTCCGTCCAGCGGATGGGCTGCCGCACGGGGATGAGACTTGGTTGGCATTGCCGGCAAGAACGGCGAAGTGAAACTTTTTGATGGGAAATGGGATCAGGCCGTCTTGCGTTTGGGACAGCAAGAGGCAAGCCAGTGATGGCTGAATGATGACGAGGCACTTCATTCCATCGACACAGGCAATACGGCGTTTCTGGGCGGCGGAACGGAAGGGCAGGTTTGGGAGGTCTCAAGTCGTTTCGGCGGTGGCTACGGTCCTCCCTCGGACCGGTTGTGCTTTATAGAAGGCTACATGTATAAGTATGATTTCGGCTGCGGGTCATTCTGGCGACGGAATCTATCCGTTTTTTTCTTATTTTTCTTATACCTTTGTCACCCCTGTTTCGTCTTCTTTTTTTCTTCTTTCGTTTTCCCACGGAAGTCTGGGAGGGGATACTCGGGTATTATGGCTGGGGCGCGAATATCACGGATGGACAGGAAGGGAGGCTGGGCTTTCGGGCAGGCACATATCACAGGGCATTTGTCGTTTTGACGGCCCAATTGCTAGTTTTTTTTTTATTCAACAATAGAGTGAACCGTTCATGAATTGGTGACTTGGGTCATGTGACTTCTTCCGTGCCGTCTTCCTCTCACCTCTGCCCATTTCATATTGCTGCTCTCGGTACTGCAGACATCCCGCTCTACGACCCTATACGATCGCCAGAAACAAGCTTTTCATTCGGTGCGCGGCTGGTTGCGGAGGACCCTGGCCCCATATTTTCTAGAAAACACTCGTCCTGCCAGCTGCAGTCGGATGCCGACGGCCGGAGGTCGGCTGACGCTTTGTACACCAGCTATTCATATGTCAGAGTCTTTACGCAGTGGACTGTGCATTCCATTCCTCAAACTATCTGAAAGTCAGGGTTGACAGGGCAAGCGAGACACTCTCCCCGCATTTCCCCGCCAACTCGCTGAGGGGCTTTTGGCGTTGACGGCGTGATGCCCGCGCTGTCACACATTTTACGGATGGCGGTTTACGTAAAGCCGCTTGTTGTAAGGCCCGCATCGGAGGAGAACGGAGCGCTCGGGGCCAAGGGGAGTGAATCGGTCGGGATGCGGGATGCGGGGGGAATCCGTCGAGCGGCTCCAGCCCAGGGTTCGAGAGGTTGTGAGATGTCGCCGCACCAGAACCAGAACCTCATTGCTTGTCCACTTTTTTTTGACTTTTGCCGGCTATTCTGCCCTCTTCCCTGCGCAGCCGCAACCCGCCGCATGCGACTTGAATGCCAAGACTTCGTCTCAGTGCCCCCCACTCCCCCACATTCACCTGGCACCTGCGAGACCGGATTGGACGGAAGGGCCCGGCTGAGAAGAAAAAAATAGCATGTCCTTCGATTTTTCAGCGGCGCCATCGTGGCTCCTCGGTCAAGGGTTGGTTATGTCTTCTTCCACCCCCTGGACTGCCCCCCATACCCACCTCTCACAAGAAGTTGCTCCAATTCGGCAAACCTGTCCTTCTCGGAGCGTATGCGCGCATTTACAGAGGGGGATTTGTAGTTGAGAATTGGATTGTTTGGTGAGAAAAGAAGAGACGAGAGACGGCAGAAGGAGAAGAAAAAAAAGACTTCGGCAAGGTTCCTTCGCTTCTGTCAGCGGGAAGTCAGCAGGCGTGAGACTGGTTGTCTAAAACTACAACCGAATTTGTTTCCCTATTCTTTTTTTTCCCTCACCTTCAACCCCCCCGCCGCATTTTGCGACATCGAAGACCCTCTTCCACCCACCGCACGCTTTGAGCCACTTATTAAGCCAAGTGGTGCGCCGATCTTCGCAACGAAAGACCCGCCCTTGTTCTCCTCGGCAACTTGTTGCAAGCCCTCCCCGCGAAACCCTCGACCCCCCCGGACGAGCGAGACGAGAGAGGGCTAGAAAAAAAAAAGAGGACAATTGTCGGACCGCATAACCCCTCCCCTCTCCCGAGCAGGGCAGACAGACAAAGCACAACACTCCGGCAACGTTTCTCGGGCCAACCCGCTGCCGCCGCCATGTCAACAGCCGCAACTGTTAAAGAGGCCGTCAAGGAGACGCTCGTCGGCTCTGTCGAGCCCGAGCAGTACTCGGCGCAGACCAAAGCGCGCTTCAACCGCTTCGCTGTCAAGGATGCCGAGACCGGCGACTTGGTGCTCGGGCCGGACGAGTTCATCAACGCCATTGCCCCGCCGCAAGAAGACTACGTGAGTGGCTTTTTTTGTTGTCCCCGAGTTTGAATTGGGGTTTTTTTTGTGTTACCTTTTTATGGGAAAAGAAAAGGAGAAAAGAAAAGGCAAATAAAAAATGGCGCGTGCGGGAGCGCACGTGAACGTCATGAGCATCTCCGGCTGACTTATTTCTCGTCTTTCCGCATGAATAGCACAAGATCAAGAGGGAACAATACTCCATCCTGTTCCACGTCGCCGACCGGACGAAAAAGGGCAAGCTGTCCCTCGCCGACTGGGGGTACTTTGAGAACATCCTGAGCAAGCCCGATGCCGAATATGAAATTGCCTTCCGCCTCTTCGACGTTGACCGGCTGGGCAATGTCAAGTATGAGGACTTCCGCCGCCTGTACGAGCTGAACAAGGGGCCTGACAGCATCCCGTTTGACTGGAACTGCGAGTGGGCAAAGCTGTACATTGGCGGCAAGTCGAACCGGCATAACATGAACTATCAGCAGTTCTCCCAGATGCTGCGTGGCCTGCTGGGCGAGCGCGTGCGCCAGGCCTTCCAGCGCTTCGACGTGAACGGCGACGGCTTCATCGAGCCCGAGGAGTTTGCGACCATCATCCAGCAGACCGCACGCCACAAGCTCTCGGACCACCTGCTGGAGAACCTGCACACGCTGTGCAACATTGCCCAGGGCAGCAAGATCTCGTACGCGAACGTCCGTGCCTTCTTAAACATGATCAACGAGATGGATCTGGTTGAGCTCATCGTGCGCCGGGCCTGCTCCAAGAGCAAGGACGGGCGCATCACCCGCGCCGAGTTCCTCAACCAAGCCGCCAAGATCACCCGCTTCTCGCTGTTCACGCCCATGGAGGCAGACATCCTGTTCCACTTCGCCAGCCTCGACGAGCCGTCCGGCCGCCTTGGCCTCAAGGACTTCACCAAGGTGCTCGACGCCGCGTGGCGCCGCCGCGACGAGATTGAGGACAGCCGCGTGGCCGCAGCGGCGGGGGCTGCCGGCCGGAGCTTCCTTTCCCAGGCCGTCGAATCGGCGTACAACTTTGGTCTCGGCTCCATCGCCGGTGCCTTTGGCGCCTTCATGGTGTACCCGATCGATCTGGTCAAGACGCGCATGCAGAACCAGCGCGGCGCCGACCCGGGCCAGCGCCTGTACAACAACTCGATCGACTGCTTCCGCAAGGTCATCCGCAATGAAGGGTTCCGCGGCCTGTACTCGGGCGTGCTGCCGCAGCTGGTCGGTGTTGCGCCCGAGAAGGCGATCAAGCTGACCGTCAACGACCTGGTGCGCAACTGGTTCACGGACAAGAAGACTGGCCAGATTTGGTGGGGGTCTGAGGTGTTTGCTGGTGGTTCCGCTGGTGCCTGCCAAGTTGTATGTCGTCCCTCCCGTCGATCCCTGGGGTCCTAGGAATCATGAGACAGTGGCCGATGAAAAAGAACATCAAAACTGACATTTGTGTGTGTGTGTGTGCAGGTCTTCACCAACCCCCTCGAAATTGTCAAGATTCGTCTTCAAGTCCAAGGCGAGGTCGCCAAGAGCGTCGAAGGCGCCCCCAAGCGCTCCGCCATCTGGATCGTGCGCAACCTCGGTCTCGTCGGCCTATACAAGGGCGCATCAGCCTGCCTACTGCGCGACGTCCCGTTCTCCGCCATCTACTTCCCGACCTACTCCCACCTCAAGCGCGACCTCTTCGGCGAGTCCCAAACCAAGAAGCTCGGCGTCATCCAGCTCCTCACCGCGGGCGCCATCGCCGGCATGCCCGCCGCCTACCTCACCACCCCCTGCGACGTGATCAAGACCCGTCTCCAAGTCGAAGCCCGCAAGGGCGACACAGCCTACACCGGCCTGCGACACGCGGCCCGGACCATCTGGCAAGAAGAAGGCTTCCGCGCCTTCTTCAAGGGCGGGCCGGCCCGTATCTTCCGCTCCTCCCCGCAGTTCGGCTTCACGCTGGCTGCGTACGAGCTGCTGCAGAATGTGCTGCCGTTTCCGGGCAAGCCGACGGAGGCTAAGGTGGCGGCGGGCGTGGCGGAGGCGGTGTCCACGCTCAAGGAGAAGGCGGTCGATAGTCCGTTCCAGCGGTCGCGGAATGCGCTCAAGGTCCTGCTCGATTTGGATGAGCACTTTGGGCGTGCGCCGCTGGGGCCGAGTGCCCAGGGCTGGAAGGCGTTGCCGGGGTGGATGGGGCCGAAGTCTGAGGCGTAATGGGGGGGGGCGCGAGTACACTAGGAGGAAAACGACGAGGAATATGAAGCATGGACGGGAAGAAAGGCGGGATCTCTGGTTTTTTTATCGGGAGAAATGCGGGTTGCGGCCGGAACGGGCGGGGTTTCAGCTTCGGCTGTATGATCGGCAATACGGGCTCGGGCCGACGGACGGGCGGATGGGTGAAACAGATGAGCGAGTCGGCACTCACTCTCTACCGTTAGTCTACCTACACCTACACACACCCACACACGCATACGCATGACACCCCCCAGGACAGCTCCCCGTCGACATCACGCTGCCGGACCTCAATCCTCAACCCACCAACCACCCCCGAAGACCAGGAGAAAGGGAATATGAACATGAACAGAGGGGGAAGAGAGGATGTGAATTCGACTGAAGGGAAGGAGGAGTTGCATGGTCCCTGACTGCGCATTGCATCGGCATCAGCATCGGCACCGACTCAAACAAGTCCACCCGGGAAAGGGACACAAGTTGTATGTGTCTGACTATGTGTCTATGTGTGTCTCTCTGTCTCTCTTCCTGTGTGCGTGCAGTTCCTTTCCCGGGAGCGGTGATGAGAACGAACAGACAGACAGACCATTTGCATTGATTGCATTGTTGCATTCGCGGCAAATAGGCGTTTATGGGGGTTTACTTTTTATTTGTTTTTTTTTCCTGTTTTTTTTGTCGCTTTGTTTGAAAAGGGCGTGGGCGACAATTTGTTGGTTGCTGCTTCGCTTTTTTTGTCCCCTTTCTTTTTCTCTGTTATCTTGTCGCGATGTCCAGTGTTTCCATTTGTTGAAATTCGGGGGGGATGTATTGTTTGTGTTTCCCCTCGCCCTGTCTTGTGCTTCTACTACTTTCTTTGGTTTGGAGCAAATTTGGCTGGTAAAAATAAACCAAGATAGATAGAGAGAGAGAGAGACGGTAGACAAGACAAGATGATGAAGAGTTTCAAGACAAGACTAGGAAATGGAGAGAAGACAGGCGATAATGCAAGTATTGTTGTTTGTATTCTTATATCTTGTCTGTCTCTTTTGTGCACTTTCCCGAGCCAGTTGGGCGGAGGGAGAGGTTTGGTATCTTTACCTGCTTGCCTTCTTTGTCTACCTTAGAAAGAGAGGGTGCGCGTTCTGTGGTCCTATAAGTGCGATCTCGTACGGGCAGGTATGGGTAGATATGGTGATGCAGGTAGACGAAGTAGAGGTAGACAGGTGAATAGATATTTGTCAGCTTAGGATTAGATATGTGTGGTGAGAGGAACCGGTGTCTTTATACAAGTCTTATCTAACAACATCACCCAGTTTCGTCCCTCATTTCTCAATTGTTCCGTTGTAACCGTCATGTCGCAAGGCTCCTGTATCATCGCACATTATCATGCTCCGTCCTACCCTTCCCCTTCTCTCCATTTAGCTGTCCGCCTATCCCTCACAACCCTTGCCCCTCCACCATCCCCATCCCTATTCTCCCCCTCCCCCTCATCATCCGCCCCCTCAAAGCCTCAATATCCCCCTCCATCCCGCCCAACCCAGCCCCCACAACCCCCGTTATCCGCACCCGACGTATCCCACGGATATGTTCCAGCTGCTGCAGCGCTTCTGTACCAACGTCGATGCCACCACTCCTGAGGGGTGAACTGCGATAGAGATGGATGTGTAGGGATTCGGTGTTGTTCAATGCTGTGAAAGGGTGTGGGTGCGGGTGATCGGCGAGGTTTGGGGGGGCTTTTGCTGTTGTTGGGTCTGATGAGTTGGGGTTTGGGTTCGGATTGGGGGGCGATGGTGATGATGGGGTGTCGACGCGTAGACGGAGATGCCAGCGGCGGATGCGCTTGATGTTGGGGTTTGTGGGCGCGGGTGTCAGTATCCCGGTATTGCCTCTTCGGCCTGGCGTGCCATCGGTGGTGGTTGTGGGTTTGGGGCGGGGAGCATAGTTGAGCCCGAGCGGCGTTGAGACGGGCCGGCAGGGGTTGCAGTACGGGTGGTAGAGTGTTGGTTGGGCCGTGAGGTGTACGGGGTGTGCGGAAAAGGTGTTGTGGCCGTATAAGATGGGGAGAGCTTCGTAGTAGGTCTGGGAGTTGACGCGGAGGATTTGTGGGTGGAGGGTTGGCTTGGTGTTGGTGCCTGTGGGCGAGGTGCCGGATGGGGAGGTGGCGTAGGAGCAGCGGTAGGTGACTCGGAGAGTTTCGGGGGGAGGTGGTGGTGGGAGGACGAGGAGATGGGTGTATATCTCGAGTCGGAGTTCAACCGGGAGGGAGAGAAACGTTGGGGGTTCGTGTCGCATTGTGCTGGGAGATACAGTATGGATGTTTGAGATATTTGGCTGTGATGGTGGAGGTAACAGTAGGAGTGGGCAAGGGTTGAGCCTCGATAATGTGCGTTACCCTGATGAGGTGTGTGTGAGTGCCGGAACAGAAATAGGAAAAACTACGCGCCCGTGTTCCCGGGAACGGCACGGCCAAATATTTCCCAGCCGAAAGAAGTCTGCTGCTTATCGAACCGGTCGGCGCTGGGAGCGGTGTGGTGAGCTCAGGGGTGAGATGGCCATGCTTGCCCGGTGGTTCGGGACCCGAGTCTCAACATCACGAAGCTCGAATCAGAAGCGGGAGTCAGTCCAGCCACAACGTCCGATCCCCTTCTCGAACCTCGAGAACCCCAAGCCTTGTCCTCCCGTTGGGGAAGGAAAACCAGGGTCTCAGTCACCACCATGCATGTTTGCCATGCCTCCGCATTTCTGGCTGGCCGATTTGGGGCATTGATTCGCTGAATCGGTGTCGGTGACTTTGGTGAGCCCAGATGCGACTGAACTAAAGAACCTGGTTCTGTCAAAGCAGAAGCTGGAAGCCGGGATCCTGCAGCCGCGGATGCAACGGCTCGGCACCTGCGGTGAAGCTGACTGGGATCAGCTCACCATGTGGGATTCTAGAGCTGTTGGTCAAGCCGAAAGGCTGGTGATCAAGCCATCCGCTAGTCAGTTAGTTTCTCGGCCTTGTACTAGTTCCGCGGAAATGGCGTCCTCGCACGCGACATGTGGTATCCTTTGTTGAGACCGTTAAACTGGAAGGTCAGGCTCTCCGGAAGCTATCTGAGGTTGGTAGGGATAGCCTGGAACAAGAGGCATGCGTGTCTTTGATACGCAGTCCCTGTGCCTCGCCGGTCTCACCCTCATCCATTTCGAGAAGCGAGGGCAACGTGTGAACTTGGACACAGAGAAAAAGGAGGGAACCGCGAAACGGAGCAAGATATAGACCGTACGGATAGCAACACGATTCGACGCAATCACCACGGGTACTCGATGGCCACGCTGTGAAGCAGTCAAAGTCACGAAGCCAGAAAACGGGAGTTTGCTAGTTTGAAGACCTCTCGACCTGGTTGTCGGTTCTTGCAGGTGCATCGGCATTCAGTGTGGGCCCCTGTCTCATGACCCCTGCGAAAATCCCGCTAACCCAAAGAGACAAGTTCCTGACCTGCAAGCCGGGTTGGGACCAACTGGAGGCCCGTGCGCGGATCTCAATGGCACCACAGCACGCCACCAGAAAGCAACTTTCAAGGGCGACGTCGTTCTGGGGGGCCTGCAACTGCAACGGCAACTGCAGCGCCAACAACCTCTTCCCTGCTTGCAGCTTGCATCGCCAACATCAACGCCCGTCGTCGAGCATTAGCGCGCGCCGCTCGTTCATCGTTGGAGTTATCTCCTTTAACCACTCGTTCGGGTTATTACGGCAGTATGGGGTTGCTGGAGTTTCTCTCCGTTGTTTTTGGTGTGATTTATACAGCGGCTTGGTCAATCAGCTTCTACCCGCAACCGTTGCTTAACTTTCGCCGCAAGTCGGCGTCGGGGACTACAGTGGATTTTCCCTTGGTAAACTGTTTAGGTATGTTTGTGTCTTGAACTAAACTCGAGCGAAACCCGGTTTTACCGTTCATGTACTGACAACATATTCTAGGCTTCGCCGCTTACTTTGCCTCCAACTGCGCATTCTTTTACTCGCCCTTGATCCGTGCCCAGTATGCCGCCCGCTACAAGGGCCTGACCCCAACGGTGCAGTTCAACGACATCGCATTTGCCACCCACGGCCTGGTGCTTTCCGCCATCACGGCCAGCCAGTACTTCTACGCCCGCGCCTGGGGATTCGGCCCCAACGTGGGCAACCGGCCCAGCCGCTTTATTCTGGGTATCTTCTTCGGCTGCCTGCTGGGCGTCGTAGCCGTGCTCTTTGTTGTGCTCGGCTCGCCGGAGCGAGACAGTACCGACGAGGCTGTCTCCTCGTGGGTTTGGCTGGACGCCATCTACGCCGTGTCGTACGTCAAATTGGTGGTCACGCTCATCAAGTACACGCCGCAGGTCATTGTCAACCACCGGAATCGGTCTACTAAGGGCTGGAGCATCCTGCAGGTTCTGCTTGATTTCTCGGGAGGTATTCTGAGCATTGGCCAGCAGGGGATTGATAGTTACTTACAGGGTGACTGGTCTGGGATTACGGGGAACCCTGTCAAGTTTGCGCTCGGGAATGTTTCCATGATTTACGACTTGGTTTTCATGGCCCAGCACTATGTGATGTACCGCGGTGCGGATGGAAAACCGCAGGAAGGCGACTCGTTGCTTCGGTCTGACGAGGAACGCCGGATTGACTAGTGGTTGGGCTGGTCAAGTTTGTGAGCACACTAGGTCCTTGCCGACAACGTCGCCAACTCTATCATCCTCACCAACCTCTTACGCAATGAGTCATGGCCGCACAAGCTAACGGGGCGATCGGATATCCTCGCCACTTGGAAATAATAAACAAATCATCCTGGGTTCTCGTGACGACGACTATTTGTCGCGACATCCTTGCGACGTAATGGATGTGTTTGATTCTGATATCTTCGCCACACGTCTGAACGGCGCGGCCTAGTCCCACATGATGCGAAAGCTAGCGCTCAAACATGCCATCACTCCTACCCCTAGAGCATGCCGCGTGACTGGCTGTTCTGGCGGCTTCCTTTGGCTTCAGGATCAACCGGAGGTGAAGTCTGTCAGGTGGCTAGACTCCGGGCGTAGACGAAACACAAGATCCTGGGATGGATAGGTTGGAGGGCGAGTAACCCCGAGAACACATTTCACATGGGAATGTTTTCGTCTGAAGAGAGACTTACTAAAGTTGGACCGCTCAGACTTGGGTCATTTGGCCCGCCCATGCCGAGTTTCTACATTATACTACCTCGTCTCTAACCTCAGGGCCCAATCTACCCGCATGCGCAGAGCTGAGGTAAATCTAGATCTCCCGGGCGTAGGTGCATGGGCGCCAATATGACCCCCTGAATCCCTTCCAATGAGCAACACATGACGACCTATTCGCCCGCATGGACGCCGGAGGGGCCTTGCGTTCTGCACTGTCACCAAGATGGGAGGATGGGCAGGAATAAACCGGAACGGCTAGTGGGTCACGGGGCAGAACATGGACATGTAGAACCGCAGAGCCTCCTTCCTTGCATCCTAAATAATGAGAATATGTCTTTCCGTCTGCTGATATTTCCCAATATCAAATTAGGAACTAGCGATAGAGACTGCGACTTGACATCATACGTCGCTTTGACGTCTTGCGCCTTGACGTTCTGTGCCCCGACAGATTGTCCACTCGGGCCTGGTCACCAGTTCAAAAGTAAACAAAAACCAGTCGACTTCGGGTTTTCTGGCCCCCGACAATGGAGCGGTATGACCGGCTGTCCCATCCATGTGGGGGGAACCTATTCTGTCATTGTTGGTCGGTCCTGGCCTCGCCGACTCCTTCCCTTCAAGCCCTTCTAAAGCTCATTTTACATATGAAAGCCGGTCGCTCGCCTCTTGTGATTCTACCCTCAACACCCTGCGTGACTTTTTCAGCCACTAGTTTCCTGCTCTTGGTCGTTTCTTTGACGAAGAGAACTACCAACCAACAACCCATCACGCGCCTCCTCAAATCAATTCCGCATAAACGTCTTTAGCTTCCCCTCTAACAGACCCCCGTACCACGCTCACCCCCTTCGCAATCATGTGCCTCGACATCTACATCCGGTACACTTGCGGGCACCAGACCTACAAGCACGGCGGCTGCCCATTCAGCTCGGTGGACCGCTTCATCGAGTGGCCTCGTGTGCCCCTGAGCGGCGAGGGCGACGGGTACCCGTTCGAACCGGCTGACGGGTGCCACTGGAGGGACGCCTCGTCGTACTCAGTGGAAGAATTGAGATGCCATGATTGCATCTCGGCTGACTTGTGAGTTGGAGTCGAGTTCCTGTTGTTGCATCGTTCAGCCCATTTCCTCTGCTTAGTTACCCGAGTCTGGGTCGATGTGAGCTCTCAGCGAGGGCTCATTCATACATACCTACCTACACACTCAACAGCCCAACCTAGCCAGCCCACTTCCTCGCTAACATCTAGTAGGTCCATAGGCGATGGCAAGTTATGCTTTTGGGAGTTACCGCAAGGCCTCCAGGAGCGGTTACTGAAAGAGATGCCCAGCAGTGATCGTATCCTGGTTGCGACCAGGACAGATAGTTTTGCGCGGTTCAGCGAGATACATGGTACCAAGTCCATGGCGCGGGACTTCTGGCGCCATCTCGAAGGATACCGTCTGCCTAGGCGCTCCAGCGGCGAGGAAGAGGACAAGAGTCCGCAGATTCAGGACTGGGGGTTGGAGGAGTACATTGAGGGGAGGGACATTGGTGCGGCGGCGGGGCGTGGAGACGCAGAGGGACTTGTGACGCTCGGGGATGCGGGGGAGGAATATTCGGTGGAGGAGGAGGGGGAGTGGGGGCGAGCGGAGGACCTTACAGGGCAAGTGTTGGCACTTTATATTGCCTTGGGGTGAGGTCCGGGTTGTCGCCGTGTTCTAGAGGTGTCGTTTGTTGCATTCGTGTATGATTTGAGGTTGGATATACCCAGGGTCGAGAAAGGCGTTTCTTTTGATCGAAGTCTACTCCTAGAAGAACCAAAATGTGTGTGTGTGTGTATTCTCTGAAATAACAGCCGTAGAAATTGTATGGGTGTGCGAGGTCCAGGGCTAGACTAGATACCCTGGATGTAATTAGTTGCAGATAAGACTCGGCTTATGTGATGATTCCCTCTTCAGAGTGATTGAAGAGAGTCCTGAATACAGCTCCGTTCTTTTGGGATCATTATTCATTTTTTGGTACATAGGCACTTACATGTATCGCTACAATACCCAACATGCATGCACTACTTTGCCTATTGTTTTGGATTCACTCGAGGCGGTTGTTAACTATTATTTTAAACTTTGAACATACCTTTGACCAGCTCGGAGTACACTAATATATATACGTAAAGTTCCCCTATCGAGTCAGCTGAAGTTCGCTCCATCGAGACAATTACTCAAAAAAGGATTGCCCAGGATATCCGGTTTGGTCCAGTATATTTATGTGCTCATTCTTTTACTTCATTAGATACCTGTCTGAATGGGCTTCCCGCAGCGTTATCTGCATAATATCCTTTTCATTGCTTTCTTTCTTTCTTTCCTTTTGAACACTTCCTTGCCACCACGGTCTCACTGTTGGGGATATCATTTCCCTTTTATCATGTATTGTTGGCTGAGGCTGGCGATTCTTCTGATATTCTGGGTTGTATTTGGCATCGTTTAAGAGGTGTTCGTCAAGTCCTGTGTTTCTAGTAATGTGTATGTTTATATGTGTGGCAATAGTGGATTAGTTAGCTCGGTCTGTTTCACCAATACTGGCCAAATAGCGGCTCCCCGGGTTCAGTTAGCTTTATATATTCTCGGTGCAGCTGGTGTATGATGATGTGAGAAATAACTGGCCTCGGGTACCTGTAAGACCTTCATTTTGTGATTTTCACGTCTGAACTTGTTCGTTGTTTGTGTGTCTCTCATTGGGTGCCGATATGAGGTATTTCTCCTTTGTCTCGTCTCATTATTGCTGGCCGTGTTATGAGCAATGCCCAGGTATACTCTGTAATGTTCTTTCCGACAATGTGTCTTTGATGGTGTTGTGACTCTCACAATATTCTTAACTCCCTTCCTACCCCCTTTCATCAGAGTCCGAGTCTGCTTGCCCGCCGCTTCGGTATCCCCCGCTGCAGACTCCTAACCCGTGGGCAACGCTCTCACCCACAACTTCACCGCCAACCCCTAGCGACTCCCTCGCCCGACGCTATTGCGCCATCCGCAGCTGGCTGTCAAGCCTATGCGCTCACTAGCAGCGGGGTCCCGAAGTTCTCGATTACAGCGATCTTGATCTTCCTGGCGCAACGGGGAAGCGAGAGTGCCCGTCTATATAGGGCTTCTCTATTCCAACACCATGGGGACTACCGCATATCTCTGCTTCTCCTCGCCTTCTCTACAGGCCGGAACTGTCGTCTTAGGCCTCGACACAGAATGGCCGAGTACACTCCTATCTCCCCACCGCTGCTCGCTGCTGGAGACAATATCATCGCCCGTGGCATTGGCAGAGGCGGTTGACAGCGGCGCAGACAGCAGCGCACGGAGAAGTGAGAAGTGGGTTCGGCTGATAGGGTTCTGGAGCGACGGGGAAGGGCGGATTCACCGGAGAGCGAGGACAGGCTGGATGGGCTGGGGTACGGCGGTGGGGTGTCCTCGGCTACGGGCTCGGAAAGGGGCGTGGGGTCCATGGTGTTGACCGGCGAGTGACGACGGGGTTTGTGAGGAGGAGCGACGGGGTTCAATGTTTCTGAGGGGCGACGGGGGTACCAACGACGTAGTCAGCGAGCAGCCACGGTGCAGAACAACAACTTTCTTTCACACCCGCTGCGTTGAAACCACTTCCCGAACTTCAAGATCATCACACACAACCAACCCGCCATCTTCAACAACAACAACAACACCGCTAACCACCAACTCCAACAACAACAACAACAATAACAACAACTCCACGACTCATACTACCCGTTTCAACCTCCCCGCCGCCCGAAGGCCCTCAATGAGAAGTCCTCCCGTCGCCGTGCCCCTCTCTCTCATTCGTTTCAAAAAAATAAAATAAAAAATAAAACCAACCATGCCAACGGCGATGGCCGTGGCAATGGGAGCGGCGGCGGCGAAGGCGAGGGCTACAGGGGCGGCCGCGACGACGGGAGCATCAGGTGCAGGTCCAGCGGTTCCCGTGGCCAAGGGGATGATGCCCTTGGCCGGTGTGGGAGAAAAGGAGGAGAGGGCTCGGGCGAAGGTTTCTCGGTGTTGTTCATATAGGTATACGAGTCCTGTTGTTAGGAAAATATGAAGTGTAGTTGGGCTGACAGACTGTTTTTCATAGGGTCGAGCAACTTCGGATGGCTGTCGATGCCGATGGTAGGTTGGGAAACTCCGCTATTGCTGATTCGGACGAGGAGTCTGATATTGAGGGTGAGTTTATTTCTTTGTGTGTTTTCTTGTTCTTGTGCGTTTGTGTGGGTGTTTTTGGTTTGGCATCCTGCGAAATATTTGAACTAGAAATTGTTTTGCTGTGAATTGTTGTTCTGTGAAGGATTCCTGCTTTTGGTGATTTGCATATTGGTGATGGAAAGAAATGTATCGTCTTTAAAACAGATACATTGAGAAGAAAAAAGGTCAAAGAAGGAAGGGAAGCAATATCTCGCTATTTCTGAGTTTTTGAATCCTTCTTCACCTGTACCCTCCGTTGGATTTATAACAGCATTATCACCCTTAACTCCTCTATGTTCACCACCCCTCCATTTTCACCATTCCCCCATGCCACCATTCACACTCTCTGGCTCTATCTACACCAACCATACCCCTATCACCTTTCCCCAATCCAACACCACAAACACCACCAACCCCGCCTCAATCCAAGCCAGTGCGCCGCCTGGTTCGCAGGCAAGAACACCGAGCTGCTGGCTGAAGCTCTCACTCGCTTGGGCATTCCCGCTTCAAAGCTCCCGTTCCGCTTTACCCCATCGATTGCCCCCTTTCTACTACAACAACAACAAAATCAAACCAAACTCCCAACTAATTAACCAACCCCCTCTCACAGCACCCCCAGCACCTATCCACCTCCGCCAGCGGCATAACGACGACACCACGACCACCAGCAGCATCACCGCCCTGCCTGTCCCGTTTCGCCGCCATGCGGCCCAGTACGTTGAGGAGGGAGATGAGAATAATGTGGTAGATGGGGAGGAGGAGAGGAAGAAAAAGGAGGAGCGGGAGAGATATGCCTCGGTGCAGGCGTCGATTACGTTGTTGAGGGAACAGGGGGTGGAGGTGAGGGATTTTGGGGGGGGAGTAGGGGTGTTTCTTGGTGGTTTCTGTCTTCTTTTTCGTGCTCCTTCTCTGTTTGGTGTTTTTATTTATTTTTATTTTTGCTTGGAGAAGGGGGGTTTTCCTTTTGTTGGGGTTTGCTCTCTGGAGGCCACGCGGGCCTTTTCATCTTCTTTTATTTTTCTTAGGAGATGCCTTGGTGTTGCTTTGCCTTATTTCCCCTTAAAATTAAACGCACATTGATGGCGACTTATTGTCCGAAACCCCCGAATATATCCAACATCCGTGAAACTGATGCGGGTGACTAATTCAGGGGCAAACGGGTACAAAGTAAACAAACTGCAGTCAACATCCAATCACACTCGGCAACTGCACCACCCATCAAAAAAGTCACACAGATTGAGCACAAAATGGGGCAAAAGACTCAATTCTACTCCAAGCAGCCAAACCCTGCCTGGAATATCCCAACGAGCGGCCAGTCTGCCCCTTATTCCTCTACACCCCCCTCAAGTTTCGGCGCCCCATAGCAACCACACTCTCTCCACACCAAAACCACCCCCAAAAAGCCCTCTCAGTAACCCCCCCCCCTCCCCC